ACCCGCGAAAGACCTCCGACAGCGTAAATGGGTATAAAGGAACAGCAACCACCCTCTCCACAACCCCCGGCTCAATCGGCCCATCCACATAAATAACCAACAGATCCTCCTCGGTCGGCCTCGGCGCATTCCCCCCCTCGCTATCAAGCACCAGCTCCAAATGCCACGCCGCATCCGGCCACCCCAGCATCAGCAGTTCATGCCCGCCCTCGACTTCGTGCGCTGGCCCACTGCGCCAGAGGACTTTGAGGCCCAGCCCCTTGACGTAGAAGCGCTCTGCGGCGGTGAAATCCCGACAGGGGCGCGCGATGCGGATGTGTGAGGTTGCGGTGGGGAGGCGGCCTGTTCCTGGGGTTGTGGCTATGGTTGGGTTTTGCGGGGTGGGGTGCGGGGACAAGGACATTTTGGTGTCAGCGGATGGTTTGAATGAGACACATGCAATGTGGGATTGTATTAGATTGATTGTTTGTCGGGGTCTGGGAATGAGGCTTGTGATATATGTGTTTGCGCGAGGGCTAGACCTTTTTCTCGGGATTTTATTTGTAAGCTGGGGGACTGGATACGAGACATTAGTCAGGGGGGTCTTCGCAGAACAATTATTGGAGTCATTGGATAGATGTAGATCCTAGAATTATATCTGCCGCTTGTTACGCCATCGCATATGCTCGACTGATTGCGGTGCCTTTGGACTAAGACTGGAAGGCTATGTCTTTACTAAAGTCGAACTTCATAGAGATATATAATAAAGATCCACTACTGACTGCTCTCTTGACAGCAAATTCGGCTGCTGAGACCAAAATGTTATTTGGCAAAAGAGAACAACTCTCATACTAGTAATAAGCCGTTGAAGATAACTTCTCAAGCCCAAAATACTGAAAGTCCCAATGTCAAACATCCGTAACCCAAATAATCATGGTACCCTACCCTCCCGGAGCTGCACCTCAGCCAGCACCGCGCGATGCAGCAGTTTATGCAGAGCTTTACCCAGTTAGAAAGATACCCCAGACACAGACAATGACAGACTATCATACCTTCTGGCGGTGTTCCCTGCGGCGCATGAGGCGTCACCCGCCGAGAATCAATCGCAACAGCTGGAATCTCAACCTGCAATCAATCAGCAAAACACTCATTCGCGGCCGGGAAATCTGCAGACAGACTTCATGAGCTCGCAGATCCGCTTGCAGCAGATCCGCCTTGCGCGCCACATTCTGCACCAGTTCCTCCAATTGCCTCTTGTGCGCACGGACAGAAAATAGCGACGGGAGACGGTTGTTGGCCGAAACTAGCTTGCGCCAGCTGTACCACTTCACGGCGGAGGCAGGGATGGTGTAGTTGTGCTTTGTTAGCCAGGAGAGCAACTCGACGTGCACGTAGGAGAGGAATACGCCGTGTTCGACGCATTGTGAGTCCAGTTGTGAGGCGTTGATGAGGTGGCCGTCGGATTCGGCGTGCGAGGCGTACTTGAGGAGGAGCGCCTGGATGGCGTTCCGATCTACGTGGTTGTGCTGGAGATTGCTTGCGACCCTTTGCAGGAGGGCTGCTATGCGGGAGAGTAGGTCGATGGCGTGGGGTTCGTTGCTTTGTTCGGGCATTCTGGGTTTTGTATCGAGATGGATTGAGGGGGGTTAGTTGGTGACGGAGATGAGGTGAAGTATCTCATGGGTAGTAGATGTCATGGCAGTAATGATGAAGAATCATACGATCAAGAAGCTCTCATGCATCGCTGGTTCTATCCGATGGTGGTTTGCGTAGCTATGTACCATGGAATCGGAAACCTTACCAGTGACTTGACGAGATGATCCAGACCCGTCTATAACAAATGGCAGCGATGATCATAATAATTGATACCTATCAGTCTACTGCTAGGACTTTAACGCACACTACCAGTCAGTGAAGAGCGAAGGGTGTAGCTCCTTTAACAGCTGCCCTGCCGCAGGGAGAGGTTTACCCGGATCCAAGTCGCTAAAAGAGTCATCGAATATGGAAATGGTCTTTACCTCCTCTTCTCCAAACTCCCCTCCCCCCAGATAACTCAAATACACAGTGGCTTTCTGTTCCCGGAATCTATCTGCCACCTTCTCGTCCAATGTATCCAGAATCCCTGCCCAGCTGCCATTCAAAAGGTGTATACTGGACAATTGAAGGTAGCGCATTGAGTGACCCAGCCCGGCGCAAAACCGTTCTAGCTCATCTTGCTTCGAGGAGACGCTGAGGATCGCCAAACGATTGATCCGTGGCCATTTGACCGCACCAAGAACAGGACCTATATCGTACCAGCCCTCCTTCGTGGTGCGGCCATCATTGAGACCAAACGAATTGAAGCTCATCCACGCATCTTCCATATCTGGACTGCATAGTATTGCGCCAAGGTACTGATCGACATAGTACTTTTCTCCAGGTGGGAGATGCTCGTGGCGGATGAAACGGCAGTTGAGAGACCCTCCGAAGCTGACTCTCCAGAGGCCGCTGCACGCAGCTCGAAGATCCGACCATGCTGCTGGATCGGTGGGATTGCTCAGAGTATCAGGACAGATCAGCGAAAAGCTGCCTCGGCATGGGAACGGTCCGATGTAAAGATCCCTCAGCGTGGTCCCTGCTTTGTGTATGGAAATCGGCAACTCGAACAAGATCCTGGCGGGCGTAAGTTTGACATCCTCAAAGTCCTCAATCTTTTGCCACTCAAGACCAGCGCTCATGAGTCCGGGAAGCAGACTCTTGTCTCTCAGCACGACTGTTGGATTATACCGATCATACGGCGGATCCACTTGGTCGGTGAAGCCTAGGGCACGCGCGTTGGGCAGTTGGGAGATACAGGATGCAAGCGCGATGACGAAGGATCCAGTTGTAATGAGCTGCAGTTGCTCTTCGTGCTTTTTGCAATATTCATTATAGCCTCGGAGGAGGATCTCCTGGTGCTCATCCACCTCTGATTTGGTGACATCTTCACTCTCGTCAGGGGTAAAATGGCGGTCCCACGACCTACTGATTCGGTAGTAATTGCTTATCGCTTCTCGATATACCCTGAGGGGTAGCGGGCAGACCGTTTCATCATCCGAATCGTAACCCCCGAGCATCCAGGTCTCGGCGTAGTAGTCACAGGAACGGGCCATTTCTCCCAATTGCTGCTTGCGATAGTCCTTGAATCTCCTACAGTCCGAGACAAGCTCCTGCGGACGATATTGCAGCCCGACTTGGATGGCACGCACACCTTCAGCTATCCGGGGAGATTTGGACAGCTCCACGGCCTTGTCCAGCGATCCCTGGTCAAGATCTACACGGAGGATCGGACACAACAGCGGAGACGCCAGGTCGTTGAACAGGCTGCAAACCAGGCGGACTTGCCGGATCGTCTCGCGGACAGTCTCGTCATCAGAGTCCCTGCGCCGCGACCTCCAGTTAATCAGGCCCTGCTTCCCGACCCTTGGGTCCTGGAAGTAGTCAAAAATCTTGCGCAGAATATCGGCAGGCAAATCAACTATCGTGATCGGTCGGATTTTCGCGCGGGAAAGGTCCATTGCCCTAGCTCGAAGCGCGAGGCGTCGTGTGTCGATCTCATGGAGGACAGTATTCTTTCGAGTCTCCTCTGGGTTGTCCTGAACTGGAACTTGCTCGCTATTCTTTTCGGTGCCGGTATCATCCTCATCATCATTATCATTTTTCTCAGGATGGTCAGGACCATCCTTTACTTGCTTCGAACTGATGAGTTGCTCAAAGGCATCGAGGCGACTCAGTTCTTGATAAATCTCATCCAGACTAAGTGTGCCGACATCCTCGTATTCTGGGTCCCACTGGTCGAGCATCTCGCTCATCTGATCGGCAGAGTGCATTGTACTGGATGCAATGGTAAGTGTAAAACTAGTGCTTAAGTCCAAGGATGAGGTGAGACCGAAGTGCAGTGAATATATCTTGGGAGGAGATGATCCTATGGTGTCTACTGTTATGGCACATTCATGACTCAGACTGAGGCGCAGCTGTTTCAATAATGCAACCTCACTAGGCACGAGCTAGCTATGCCAAGCTTTAAAGTAAGTTAAACTCTTATCACCCTCATTCTATGCTCTAACTTCTGATTTTAGCGGATTGGTTATGCAACTCTAGTCTAACCCAGCTAGATTTGAGTAAGTTCTCTTGGCGTCTACCAACTCTTATCCCTTGGCTAATACTAGTATCCGCTGTCTCTGAAGCGACTGATCACAGTCCTTGAGTTTAGCCCCATTACCACCATTACTATAGGAGCAATCATTCCTGGGTACAGGCAGACCTTGATATCCTGTCCCTTAGAAGCTCGCAACTCATTAAACCAAAACTTGTCTTTTGAGACTAGGCTAAAATGATCCTCCCTGGCCGCGCTCTCCTCACCCGCGCCATCATCCGCAACGTCCAAAATCCGGCCCTGCAAGTCCAACCCTGCGGTGTAGACCTCACACTCAGACGAGTGCTTACCTGGACATCGCCAGGAACCATCGATCTAGAAAACCAGCGTCGCCAGACCGCGTCTACAACTGAAATCCCCTTCCCCGCGTCAAGCAGCACTAGTCCAGAGGAACGCTTCCTTGATCTCCCGCAGGGATCCTACCTCGTCGAGTTCAACGAGACAGTCTCTGTCCCTCTTGACCTCATGGGCCAGATCTTTGTGCGCAGCTCGCTGTTTCGATCTGGCGTGCTGCTGAGCGCCGGTGTTATGGATAGTGGTTACGTTGGGGCGGTTGGGGCCCTGATGCAGGTGCTCAATCCTGCTGGGCTGAGGGTTTATCCTTCGGCGAGACTCGCGCAGTTTGTTTTTCACCAGATGAGTGAGGAGGTCGAGGGGTATCGGGGGGTTTACCAGGGGAGCACGACGCTCTGATAATGTCTGTATTATAATCTGGCGCCTCGACGCGGGTTCTCACATCTCATCGAAACGAGTAAATTGTTACAGCAGCTCGATACATCAATTCATATGTAATCCTCCGCTAACACAGATACTCTGCCCCGTCACCCATCCCGACCCCTCCCCCGCCAGGAAAGTCACTACCCGAGCGATATCCTCCGGTACAGCCACCCGGTTCCCCAAGGGCGTATTCTGCTGAATGTAGGCGACGACCTCCTCTGGCACATCCCGGCGCAGCATATCGGACTCCACCGCCCCGGGCTCAATCGCATTAACGGTATGGCCCACAGGTCCGAGTTCACACGCCAACGACCTCGTGAATCCCTCCACGGCTGCCTTGGAAGCAGAATACACCGAGAAGCCAGACGACCCTCGACGAGCAGCCACGGAGCTCAGGTTGATAATACGGCCTGGGGCGCGCAGATGCGGGATCACCGCTTTGGTCATGAGGATCATGCCGTAGACGTTGAGATCGAAGACGGAGGAGATATCGTGGTGGGTCGTTTCGACCAGGTTCTTGCACATGGAAACACCTGCATTGTTGACGAGGACGTCGATCTTGTTGTCTTCGGTGGGGAATGCCTGGAACGTTGCAGCGAGGATCTGGTCTGGGGCCTCTGGCTGTCGGAGATCGGCTTGGACTTTGATCGCAGCGGAGCCGTTGTTGAGGTCGTGGATCTTGCAACACAGGTCGTTTAGAGCTTGCTCGCTACTTGGAGATGTGTAGGTTAGGGCGAGCTGGCAATAGATTAGCAGTATTCATTGCACGGGATAGAGCAGTGGGAATACTTTTGCACCCTGCCTTGCTAGCTCAAGCGCGATGCCAGCGCCGATTCCGCGCGAGGCGCCCGTGACAATGGCTATTTTTCCTTTCAGGCTCATTTTGGTGGTTGAAATATGTTCTGCGAGTGAGGATTATGGATTGTGAAGATAGAAAGGCATCGTAGCTCTCTTATATACCCATCTGCCCATCTACATAACGTTATGTCATGAACCGATGTGGAGAATCACCGTATTGAAGGAGTTTAGAAGATACAGTTCAAGCTAGAGGGACTTAAGAGAGTGGAGAATGATGTCCTTCTGAGTGGGCAAACAAATTTCTCACCATAACGTTATGCAATACGAAGGGAATCCTCAGGTAGTGAGTGTATGACGAGGTCAGCAGGGGGATCTAAGCAGACTAGTTGACCAACAAACTAGCGGTGGCTCTTATTTGTAATATTGACTTGGTTTTGATCAGTCTTGGATCATCTCTGCAGAAATGGATGTTGTGAATTGGAAAAGGGCCATTTCTATGTCACAGGGAACTCTACAGAGACAGCTAGTCAAACGGCTTGTCGGGGAGGGAAACGAACTTTCAGCAAAGGGCCCTCGATGATTGCGTTTACTTACATTCCTGACGGCGAGTACCTATGGAGGTTGCAAAGGGTCCATCTCCTTTTGGCTACGAAGCCGGGGGCAGGCTCTTGATTCAGTTGACAGGGACAAGTCGACGACATCGTCAGGAAGAAGTTCATAATATCAGTCGTACGATGCTAGGAAGCTCAAGGACGTTTTCTCTGCATGTATCTGCTGCTTCTTATGCGAATCTGCCATTCTCTCATGTTATCGTTGCCCATCAGCAACAGTATTAGGCATTACATTACTATTACACTAGACACGGATATCTCAAACTGAACGATATACACTCACCTCACCAAGTAAACGCCTCCTCCACAAAATCAACCGCAACCCCCCGATCCACCTGCCGTCTAGCCGCCTCCCTCACATCATCCCCCAGCGCCCCAGGCCCACAGACCGACACCACCGTCGCCCCGATCCTCCTCGGGAGAATCTCCTTTAGCACAGTAGCCGGATTACACCGCCCCGCAAACGTCCGAATGACACCCCCCGGCGAGCGCATCTCGCCGGGACTCTTCGGCTTCGACACAAACAGCATGATCGTCAAGATCGACTCGGCATCCGGCATCTGCAGGATCTCCTGGAGATATTCCATCACCCAGCGGACGCTGTCCATGCCGCGTACCGCCCAGACCAGCGTGATGGACCGCGTGGCGGCCCGGCCGTCTGCTGCGCGGAGAAGCAGATCCCGGATGAAGAGGAGGTGGTGCGTTATGCCGACGCCGCCGGAGAAGAGGATGGCTGTCCCGTAGCTGGACATGTTGACCGCGTGCGAGGAGTACGGGCCCTCGAGGAAGCCGGTTGTCGTGAATGTTTCGTCCGGGGAGGCCATCGCGCGATCGTACAGCGCGCGGGTCATGCCCTGCCGTGCGGCGACGACTAGTGTCACGGCTGTGTGGCTGAGTGGGGAGGATTGACTTTCGAGGGTGAGGGCTTTGGGGTCGTTGGTCAATGATTGTATGCTTTTTCGGTTGGGGGCGCTGGCTGAGGTGTCTGACCAGGCTGCGGAGAAGGGGTGCGACATCCACCAGGAGATGTGGGGGATGTACGCGTAGAAGTGGCTGCCCGGTGGGACGGGGTAGTGCTTGGGGAGAAAGAATGTGAGACGGCAGGCTTCGCCAGCAAGTGCTTCTACTTGCAGCTTTGTCATGCCGTGTCGGCGAGAGACATTCAGAAACACGAGCCAGAGGAGACGGGTGCATCGTTCTGCACCCCAGATGAAAATGGCCCATTGGATCCATGGCTTCTAAGGCAGGCTGTGCATGTCGAGGTGCAGGTATATGCCTAAGATGATCAAGAAGGCGCCAGCCTGATGAATGCAGAGAAAGGTTTCGTAGAATGCGTGTCGTACAGGAGAGAGGGAGTGAACAATAAAAAACGCCATGACCGCAGTTGCAACCATTCCCCAGGCGTAGGAGGGCGTCTCGGCAAGATGTTGAGAAAGTGCGGCCGGGTTTCCCTCTCGGACGGTGTTGACAGCCCAAGCAGCCATGTGAACGATGCTCTCAACGGCGGCGATGCGGCCCAGCCATCGGTGGCAAAGATTATATGAGTCGAAACTGATTCGTAGAAGAGGGATTAAGGGATTGTTGCGGGTTGCAAAGAGCACAAGCGGGATTATGTTCACCGTGGCCAATGTACCGGCACGTCCGCGAAGCTCTGCAATGACGGCGGGGGTGTCATTCTGGTAATTGAGGTCGCAGCAGTAGATGATTTGGCTGACAATATATCCAAAGATGACAAGTGACTGAAATCGGGAAGGGAGAGTGCCCATATTAATGGCCGACGAGAGCTGGATCTCTCGGTTATGGCGCTTGCTGGACAATGGCGCGTAGAGAAGACGGCTTTTGATTCGGACCCAGAGTGATGATTCGGTGATGCTCCAGACGGATTGTTGCTTTTCGGATGAACTGGAACAGATGATGTAGCGAAGATAGGCATGCCCAATTTGAGCCAGTCGTGCGAGTAGGACCATGCCAGCGAACGCCAACATGGACGAATAGATGATCTGGACAAAAAGAACATCGCGAGGAGTGTTGAGGCCATCATGCCCTGTGGAGTAATCCACCACTGCTTGAGTCTTCATCTTGATGATGCAGATTAAAAGACTGAAGATTGATCAACGGAGCAGTGTGCTCACTGCGTATATAAAGTCCGCCTATCACTCCAAGCATCCTTGATTGCATGATCCACCAAAGATATCAGCGTGAAGAACTCTTGTGATTCCTCCATTGTTCCTTTTTTAGGCCAACAGACCATGGCATTCTTGATGCAGGGAATCGCTAGTGGGTTTGAGTCCGGTTCCATGAGCCCTGTCGGCTGTCAACCTGGATAATTCAACTCATCAACGGAGGGACTGACAAATCAGAAGGATCTATCGTTCTCCATCGTTCGAGGAAGACCGTCGGACCTGGTGTCCTCTGTCAACTGACAAGTTCAGGGTCTTGGTGAAACCTACAGAGGCTGCTCCAGTTTGCCTCCTGTCATTTCGAGCGTTATCTCCTGTCCTGTAAAGGAAGTCCGAGGGTGTTTCGGACGGAAAGCTTCTCTTACACTGATTCAGTGTGAGACGTGCTGGTGAAGAGGAAGGGGATGTCCGTGCAGCCACGAAACATGCTGTGCGAACTTCCTTCGATGGTGAAACATTCGCTGCTCCATCAGGTTGCATCCTCTTTGCGGGGGAGCAGGAGAATCGAGTTGTCGACTTGGGTATGAGATATTGGACGATCTGAAACTCGCGATGAAACCAGTTCCTGTTGCTGAAGATCCTGCACAACCAGTGGGTCTGATAGCTGTTCCGTTCCCCACTGGTTCAGACTTTGCAGTTTCTAATTATAGCCTCAAATATGGACATCAGGGATATCTCTCGCTTGAGTCTTGACTAACATGTACGAAAGTCTTCAGATCTCAACTCCAAAATCACCCTCACTCAGCTTTCTCGCTGCCATCCATGGAAAGGAAAACATCATGATCTCAGAAGGCAAGCAGGAAGCATGGATAACAACTGAGCCCTGACTCGTTAGTGCCCGGACAAAAGCACTACTCGGTGCATTATACTATTTTAAGCTTCCCTAGGAGATTTTACCCATACCTACCGAGGTGCAAAAGCAGATGCAGCTTATGAAACAACCTATTCCACGTGAAGCAATCCGCCAGCTAGCAAAAGCAGCCGGATCTACTATATAAAGTCCTTCTCCTAGATCAGGGGTAAAAGAGCTCCGTGCAGCTCATAGATCTTTTATTGCTGATAAGGGTCCTATTAGACCTAGATAATTCAAATATTCATCACTTTTTGCTTTAGTTGATCCTGTAGTAGTCAGATATATGGTTTTCGACCATGGCCAGATTCGTTTTTGAGTGGCTCGTCGGTTGTGGATTATGTTATGTTAGTAGATAGTTGACCAGTTAGTCATTAGTTATTACTGACTCAGCAGCTTAATCCGTGCCAGAAAACAGTTAATGGATTATGGGCTTCAGTTAACGTGGAGGTGGCATGATCCTTTATTAGTGCCATACACAGACACTAAAGGAGGCATCAGCAAAACAGCATAGTATTAAGGAATTATGAACCTTGCACTATTGCTATTACTACTATCATAATTTAGCTACTCATCACAGGCCTAATATTTTCCTGTGCACTATTAGCCCTTATTACTCTAGCACAGCGGCATTACTTGTTATGCTTATCCCCACATGGTTCACAGGTCCAAGATATAGTTGTGTATTCATGCAGATTTCACCTGTATCTTGCGAGACTTGAAGCAGCCAAGTCATGGAAGCTGATACCACGGTCGCCCCGCGCCTCCCAATTGCTCCCGCGCCACCTAGGGCACTCTCCGTCCACGTGCCAAATGGCTCTGAGACAGACCTGACCACAATGCGCTTCAACTGCCAAGCTTGCGTGCGCAAAAAGATCAAATGCGATAAGGCTGTGCCGACATGCTCGAGCTGCAGGAAAGCAAAGCTCCAGTGCGTCTACCAGGCTCCCCTACCGCGGAAGAGGAAGCGAAGCCAGGTCGAAGACGTGTATGAGCGTCTAGCACGGTACGAGCGCATCTTAAAGGACAACAATCTTCTCCCTACGGCCTCTGCACCGACCCCATGCGGCAAGGAGACGGAGGCATCGGTGCTCAGCACACGGGACCCAACCCCAGTGCCGGACACGCAACCCGTGAGGTCTGGTAAACTTCTTTCCGCCGATGGCAAGTCTCGCTATATTGACAGTGTTCTCCTACTTGATGCTGGAGAAGGCGACCCGTGTGAATTATCCGATTCCGACCAAGATGACTACCACAACGACGACACCGGAGCTGATGAGAGCACCCCGACTGGTCTCCTTGGCGTCCTCGCAGCACATACAGTCTCTGGGGCTATACTTGCAAGCACTCGGAGCCTCACCGAGCAACACCCCAGCTATCAGGAGGCTATAAAGCTCTGGAATGCGTACATGCAAAATGTCGAGCCTCTCTGCAAGGTTCTTCATGTTCCGACTGTCGCAAAAATGGTCGACACTGTCTCCAAGCAGCCCGCTGCGGCCTCAAAGAGTGACGAATGCCTGCTTTTTGTCATCTACTATTTCGCCGTGTTCTCCATGTCGAACACCGACTGTCTGCGAGAGTTCAACCAGTCGAGGAATCATTTGATGTCGAGATACCGGACCGCTATTTACCAGGCACTTGTCAATGCGTCGTGGCTGAAGACTACAGCAATGCCTGTACTACAGGCTTACACACTCTTCCTCGTTGCCATGCGCACGCAAATCGATCCTCATACGTTTTGGATTCTGACGGGCATTGCGATCCGCCTCGCACAACGCATGGGGCTCCACCGTGACGGTGAAAAACTCGGCTTGCCACCATTTGAGGTTCAAATGCGACGGCGGCTCTTTTGGCAACTGCTTCCACTGGACGCCTATGCAGGCCAAGTGTCCGGCACGGGTATTTGCCTATCGCCAAATAGCTGGGATACCAAGGAACCGCTGAACATTAACGACGACCAGATCTTCCCTGGTATGACGCAGCAGCCTCAAGAGCAAAGGGGCGCTTCGGAAATGATCTTCTGCTTGTCTCGGATGGAACTGTCCAATTTCTATACCCGAACCGGTGTGAAAATGAAGGAAATCGGTGGTACGGTTCAATTCCGGGATGCAGAGGACATTGAGAGGCTCATCGACGAGGTCGAGGATGTCATTGAGACAAGGTTCCTTCGATACTGCGATATCCTGAACCCCTTGCATTTTTTCACCATTGGAATCGTACGATCTGCCACCAACGCCGTCCGACTGCGTGCTCGAATGCCTCTGCTGACGAAGCAGACCATTACCGACGCGCAAAGGAGAGACCTCTGCACTCTCGCAGAAAGGATTCTTGATACAAACAGCACCATCTACGGCAACCCAAGCATGAAGAAGTTCCTGTGGCACATGCAAGCTTTCTTCTTGTGGGATGCCCTTCTCTGTCTCCTGCTTAACCTCGCAGAAGTCGGATTCTACTCGCCGTCGGAGCTAAACACTACCTGGGACAAGGTTGCAGAAGTCTATTCGAATCACGAAGAACTTGTCAAGCGCAGAAGAGCCCTGCACGTCACCACTGGCCGGATCACTCTCAAGGCCTGGCTTGCGAATCCCCCGAGTAATTCGTCCCCAGAGCCGGCGTTCATAACCGCGTTGCGCGCACAACGCGAATTGAAGGGCAACAGGCAGCAGCAGAGCGTTGACGAAACGGGGGGAACTGACAAGGTTGGGGACGGTGTGTTTGTTTTGGATGAGCTTTCTGACAACATTGATGGAACAGGCTTGAATCTTGATAGCGGCTTCACTCTCGACCCTTCAGATTGGGTGCTTTGGGATCAGCTGTGCCGAGAGAGCAGTCTGGGCTGAGCAGGCAGTGTAACCTTGCCCGGGAATCTGCCTCATGTCTCCGTGGACTCTATACAACATCTTTCGACCTAGTCTTTTGAGTATCCCGTGTAGTATCATGACTACTACTGGCATCAAACAGCCGGGCCCGAAGAATGGCGCCCTCCTAATGGCCAGCGAGTCGGTCCGTCACGGGCGACCCGGGCCGGAAGCAAATACGACCCGGTGATTGGCTGCTCCAGTTGATACAAGTATACCTCTATATAGTATATAATAACCCAGCAAACCCCGGCATCGCAGCATTAAGGAACCATGCTCTTCATCTCCTTCGATCTGATTTCTTCTAAGATGAGCAATAAGAACCCAAGCGCCTCCGACGAGGGGATCGCGCCTCTGCCTGGGAAGGAAGACCTCGAAGCAGCCCAAGCAACAATCCCAACCGAGCCGTCTCTCGACGCCGAAGCCAACAAAGACCCGGATCTCGTCGCATGGAGCGGGCCAGATGATCCTGAGAACCCCAAAAACTGGCCCAACGCCTTGAAGTGGAAGAACACCTGGACCGTCTCCCTCTTCGTCTTCATCTCGCCCGTCTCATCATCCATGATCGCCCCCGCCATGCAAGATCTCGGCGAGTCCCTGGGGATGCGCACCGAGATTGAGGTGTACCTCTCCATGGCCATCTTCATCCTCGCCTACGCCATCGGCCCCATCTTCTTCGGTCCTGCTTCCGAGCTCTACGGTCGTGTGCGTCTGCTTCAGGTCAGCAACGCCTGGTACCTAGCCTGGAATCTGGGATGCGGTTTCGCCCAGACCAAGGCCCAGCTCTTTGCGTTTCGCTTTCTTGCGGGAATTGGTGGCAGCGCGCCGCTGGCAATTGGAGGAGGCGCCATCAGCGACATGTGGAGCGCCGAAGAACGCGGCAAGGCCATGGGCGTCTACACTCTTGGGCCGCTCCTTGGGCCCGTCGTCGGACCCATTGCCGGCGGCTTCATTGCCCAGTACTCGACATGGCGCTGGGTCTTTTGGGCAACCTCCGCCGCTGCCGTTGGCGTCCAGGGCGTCGGATTCATCTGGCTGCGGGAGTGTCACCCGGCCACGCTCCTACGCAAGCGACGCGACCGTCTCGTCAAGGAGACGAGCAACAAGAATCTGCATATCGAAGAGAAGGTGGAGACCCTCACCTATAAGCTTCTCCATGCCTTTGAGCGACCGGTGCTCCTGTTCACGACACAGCCCATCGTCTTCTGCATGGCCATCTACATGGCCTACCTGTTTGGAATGACGTACCTCATGTTGGCGACGTTCCCAGAAATCTGGACCGTAGTCTACCACGAGAGCTCCAGCATCGGCGGGCTCAACTACCTCTCCATCGCCATCGGGTCATTCGCCGGCCTCTTCTTCAACCTCAAGCTTGTCGACCGCATCTACAAGACCCTCAAAGCGCGGAACAACAACGTCGGCAAGCCAGAGCTCCGCATGCCGTCGCTAGCCGTCGGCTCCGTCATCAGCACCATCGGCCTCTTCTGGTACGGCTGGAGCATCGGGCACACGCACTGGATCATGCCCAACATCGGTGCTCTGATCTTCACCGCGGGCACAATCTCCTGCCTGCAGGGCATGCAGATGTACATTGTCGACAGCTACCAAACCTACGCCGCCAGCGCCATGGCGGCCTGCGCGATCCTTCGCAGTCTGGCGGGCTTCGGCTTCCCGCTCTTCGCTCCGTACATGTACCGATCTCTGGGCTATGCATGGGGGACCAGCGTGCTGGCATTCGTCACTATGGGGGTTGGCTGGGTGGCGCCTTTTGCGTTTTGGCATTTTGGGCCTAAGCTCCGTGCCATTTCCAGGTACGCCGCTGGCTAAACATCGACTACTGCCATGACTGTCTAGAATAGTCAGACCTGGTTGATTTCGCACCCAGAAATTTGGCTCATTGAAGTCTATGGCATGGAAGAAGTAATAAATTGTGACTTGCTATATTTAATCGGATACCAAAGATAATTCCTCTCATTTACAGGTTTCTCGAAATGTAAACCTTGCAAAATGCTAGTAAGTGATGGGGATAAGAGTGCGTAAACTAACATTACATTTGAGTGATAAATAGATTATGCTTCTAATTAAGCCTAAGCATTATTCTATAGTGGTAGTCATGTATCCCGCAGGGCGTAGGGCGTGGACTACGACAGCGGATAAAAGCCGGAATTGGGCAGCCACAAGAGGGCTGATCCTATATAATATCCACCATCGAGGTGCCTGCTGTATAAGACTTCATATTAGTTCACCAGAGATCTGTCTGGGCCTTGCAGAACTTCACCCTGAAACCTACTTCTCTAACATACTCCAACCCTGGGAAGCAAACGCAATACTCCCATATCTAATTGTATGATTCCCTTCAAACCAGCCATCCCTATACAATAAACTAATATCCGTCCAGCATACGAGAAAAATAATGCAATACCAGCTCGCAAATCGACCAGCCCCAACATGAGCCTGCACTACCGCCTCGCAACCCCAGCCGACACCCCCCAAATCCAGCAACTGGTGCAATCCGCCTTCCGCGCCGAGGACAGCAGACCCAACTGGACAGGAGACACCACCCTCTCCTCAAGCTTCCGCATCGAGGTCGAGGAGATCCTCGCCACGATCACCTCGCCCGACAGCGCAATCCTGCTCGCAACGGACTCCCACGGCGTCCTCGTCGCCTCCATCGGCATCTCCAGGCGCAGCGCCGACCTCGCTCGGTTTTTCATGCTCGCTGTAGACGAAGGCTACCAGCGCGGCGGGGTCGGGCGCCGGGTGCTCGCCTACGCGGAGGAGTATTGTCAGCGGGTCTGGGGCGTCAGTAAGGGGGGCTTGAACGCTCTCTCAACTCGCCGGGAACTTATCTTGTGGTATATGCGCTGTGGCTATCGACGGACGGGCGAGCTGGCGTCGTTTCCAGTTGAGCGTTTTGAGGGGATTGCGTTGCCTGGTGACTTGTGTTTTGTCGAGTTGGAGAAGGATTTGAAGGGGGTTCTGGGTCAGTCTGAGCTGCGGTGAGTTTCTATCTATAAGGTAGTAGTTCGGCTTTGGAGGTAGTCTAGATATAGAGTGATCATAACTCGACTAGATAAGCTCCAGGTATTGATTTGGCTGAGGTTGTGCTATTGTGTTCCACATCTTCATCATCATATTAGCAGCTACATTCTGATGGCTGAGGTCTGCGGATTTAAATCAGTGTATAGAACAGGATTGGTGTCAAGCGTAAGATGAAACATGGAGTCAAGTATGTATGGTTCAGCCGGGATGATGATTATGCTAGGGTTTCCCTTATGAAGGCTTTGCACATCAACTGGCAGTTCTTGAGTATACACTCTGTAAGGAAATTCACACTCATCAAAGTCAAATACATAGACGAAATTCAAAGCATAAATAAAAAGAAAAAGTGTGTGAGTGTCAATTGTCATCAAACTGTCCATGGCATACCCACATTAGATGCTAGGCCGAAGCCCAATACTTCATTTGATAAACGGGATCATATATCAACATACTCTTGATACATAGTCTACTAATACAGAAATGCTATTCAATCACGACGGAGATGACTGTGTTCCCCCCGGAAAAGACATAGTTTGCAGGGTCCTCTTGATTCACCGATTCCGATGCACGTCTTGTATGCAGAGGAGATGCCGAATTCCTGGTTTGAGGCTGGTCGTTTGCACCCTTCGAGCCAGACGTGAACGCGTCGTAAGAGGCATGGGTGTTGCCAGTTCGAGGACTTATCGTTGCCCGCTTTCGCGGCGAGGGTTTCTCAACATCATAGACACAGACCTGAGGATGGCCGCGTTTCTGGCAAGTTCTGCATGGATGACCATTGTCGCATTTTACCTCGCGCTGGTGACACAGATAGCATGCTTTTATTTCACATTGCTGCTGCTTGGCCTGTAAGATCCAGTCGATCTCTTGGCGCTCAACATTGGAACCAGCAGGAGAGCTGTTAGGCATCTCTAAAGTAGATAAATAAGGTCACCGCAGAGGCCCTCGTAAATGATGTGTCTAAAGCTCAAAAGAAGGGAATATCATAGTGAGAGATTGGAAGGTATCACTCTGCTACAGAACAGCATTTCTGTGGCAATTTCTTGATTCACTTGGTAGTGCCGCTTTTTGCTCACTGAGCCAGATCATAGAGTAAGACTGTGAGTACATGCAATCCCTAATTCCTCGCTGAGTAGTGGTAGAGTAATCAGACAGGCTCAAAGTGCATTTCGGTCAGTAGGTAATCCATGACCGGACAGGAGCCTCTGCATCGCTGGCTTCGTTCTCATAAAAACTTCTTGCGGTGAAACCAGATTTTGAAGGTCATAGTATAGATCTCTACCCGCAGCTTCAAGCGCGAGATACCCTGGTGAATAGACCTCAACATCCCCCTTCCAGTCCTCGAGATTACAGAGACTCGTAGTATCAAAAAGCTGGTTAGCAACTTCTGCATGTTCCAGTATATCCAGAATAGGTAGGTCCATATTCAGCCTAGAACAGTTAGACATGGTTTAATCAAGGCGAGGGAAGGAGAACTCACGGCTGGTTATGAAAGTTCCCACCTCCAAGACCCTGGGACACGTCGGATATTGATTGACCATTATGAAAGAGGTTCTGATACGGCTGGTGCATGTTGAAGGGGCGCCGAAGAACTAAATCCTTGACCGTGCCATCAATGTCATAGTCAACAATAGCAAGGCGACCTGTTCTCAGCCCTTCTTCATCAACCAATAGATGGTTATGGAGTTGGCCAAGATAGAGTACTGTCCCACCACGGGTGAGATAGATACCACTAAACAAGGCAGATTCAAGGTATAGCCACGGCAAAAAGTCATCATATGATGCAGTAGTTGTGGTAGCTAGATTGAGAGATGCGACGGAAAACATATAATCATTATCAAGACAGTGCCCTGATTCAAGGTCATAACGGTACAACAGGATCAGAAACTTCCCCCATCGCGCCTGGTTAACGGGATGGGCGGCATCAACCGGTGCAAGAGAAATTACACCCCCATTATGACCAGGCTGGTTGGGATTGAACATTCGCTCCAATGCTTCGGGAGGATACCGAAGACCTTCATCCGGATCACTCGGGAAGTTCCTCGTCTCTGTGCCAGGCAGGCCGATTGGGGCGCGCTCCTGGAAGGACTGAAACAATTAAATGGAGTCGTTTCGGGTCAGGGGTATGAAAAACTCATACGTCACGGAACTCCTGTGCTCCAGCTGCCCATCGCTCAACCAATGCTCGTCGCTGGCGAAGTTCATAATCATCATCCTCATCCTCGGGTACGCCAGCATGGGCGCGAGGAACCCAGCTCTCCTGCGCTAATGTCAATATCTAGTCAAGACAGAACAATTGCATCCCACCTTCACAAAGAGCAGCCACCCTTTGACCTCTTCCTTAATCTCGTCAAAGCTTAGGTCCGCCGTATGGTGTGGTCGTATGTGGGAGGGAATCCCACCGGGCCAGTGTCCCGGCATGATGCTTGTCCCTTTTGAAGTGACATTGTGAGTTGCTCAGGCAAGATCAAATTTCTTAACTTACGAATTTGCGGAGCAAAATGCTGGTGGACAGAAAGTTATGCAGCGGCAGCAGCGAATGCTCAACAACTAGACATGCAACTTGGAGCTCTAGACTAGTAGAGCTAGCTGATAGGTTTTGCAAAGTAAGGACCATGAATTCATTCCCTTTTATGGTTAGTTTAATGTTTTTTAGTATGGTTGCCTGGTGGACCGTCTTGTATACTCTACCCTCACGGCCTCACTACTCCATATGACTTTAAATATCACTTTATTGGTGACCTCACGCAGTCAAGATGGACAGTGTGTGTATAGTTTGGCCGCAACGGGTCACCTGTCGCTGCGGTCTTACGCGTAAATACGTTAGACTGTAGCATCAGAGAGGGCCCAATGACCCGGGCCAAACTAGGCTGGTGGAGGGGACGGTGGTGGAATCGGCAGAGATAGCGGAGCTGGCGAGCCTGTCTGAAACTGATGGTTGAGCTTGTATAAGACTGACGCGTTTATTGTGAAATACACCCTAAATGCCTCTGAGGTCCATCTCCCAAGAGCCTGAATCTGGTCATCAAGGATTCCACTGTTGTGCGCATGCTGCGCTGCAGCATTACATGGATGAAGCTGGTAACAATGGGCCAGCCAGCAGTCTGATGTAGACTTTAATGAGAAGAAGAAGAGCCCCTGGCCTGTAGTGGAGGCATCTGTGTAAAGATGCGTGATGTTATGGTGGCAGGGGTTAACTAGGAGTATACTGTTGAAGAGAGATAAGGAGTCCCTCCACCATTCTAGATTGTCATGTACCTTGTAAGGGATACAGTGGCGCGTGCGGCTCCCATGTGGGAAGATAGCCTGAAAGGTGTATAGAGACTGTAGCCTTGTTCTTCCAAGCTAGACCAATCTTGAGCAGAAGGCTAGTAAGCCTGTAAGGCTCTCTGTTTGCTTAAGGGTAAGACTTATTGTGTTAAGGGTAGCTGCGGTGTCTAGTGTGGTGTGGTATAGCTTCTCTTGTAGCAGACAAGCTTCCATTGCAATAGAGTCTATTTGGATTCCTAGGACTGTAATGCAAGTCCCTTGCTCGTCCTTTCTTGTGTTGTGAGGGATGCTTAGGTAGTTGGTTACTATATGGTAGACTTTGTTGAAAGCACCTGCAGGATTAGATATTGAGGGAGAATGTATGACAGCGATGAAATCATCTAGATAATGGTTGATGTAAAATATGAGAAGGAGGCACTGAAGTATTTAGTGGAGAGCCTCTGCAAAGACGTTAAAGAGAAATGGAGCTGTTGCTAGGCTAAAAGGGAGGCAGCATTTAATGTAGGTGGAGTTGTTCTACTGAAAGGCTAGGAGATGCTGGTTGTCCTTAGTAATAGGGACTATTTGGAAGGCATCCTTAATGTCTTGTTTGATAATTGTGCAGCCAGGTCCTGCCTTTATGATCTGGTTGTATATATCATTGATTTTCATGTATTTGATAGCTGACCACTTGTCTGGTATGCCCTGGTTAACACCTCACCCAGGGGGCCAGGATAGGTCATAGATACAGCGCCATCCCCTGTCATGCTTGGGGACAAGTCTGAGCAGTAAAATAAAGGAAGGTTTAGAGGCTAATCTAACCTAATAGAGGACAAGGTCCTCTGCTAGCTTTCCTGTGATAATGCTGGGTTCATATATATAGTGGTTGGTGGAGTAATAAGAGTGTTTCTTGCCTCTGTAGCTGATCTGGATGCTGTAGGTCAGGATGCTAGTAAGAGTTGGTCTAAGATCGCCGGGATAATGATAAAGGAGGTTGCGCCATCTCTGTGCATGAAGTGGTGAAGAAGAAGGCTATAGTTTCAGGAGTTCTGTATTGAAGACAGGGTATTAGGTAACTGTATTAGGCCTCGCTGGTTAGCCAGAAGGTATTTCTGTTGGCGGTAAAAAGTAGGAGGCTGTCCTGGCATTTTCTCTCCTTACTACTTAATTTGCTTGCTATTTTTTCTTGTGGCAAGACAAGGCACTATGCTTACTTAACCTGCATATGGTACATTCATGGCGCCTCTTGCAGCCGTCCTAGAGGCACCCTGTTATATTAAACTTATTGCAAACCTCTGTATCATTATTCAAGGATCTGGTAGACCTTATATGGCGAGTTCGGGCTGCTAAAGGGTGTGGTGGTGACTTAGCTAGTAGAGTGAGGTTGTGGTGGAGATATTTCTTGCGAAACTGGGCTGTGACTAGGTAACTATCTGTGGACAGCTCTCCCTTATCTAGTATATATTAGTGGAAGTTGAGAGCCAGTGGGAGTACTGCTTCTAGCCACTGATAGGTCTAAGCAACATCCAGGATCTGTCTCATAAACATGAGTAAGTTAGGGATGGCCTTAGGGTGCTTATCACTAAAGAGGTATCCTATGACTGCCAAGTAGGTAAGGAAGTAGTTAGTCTATATTTAGGGGTTAGGACCCCAGTCCTTAAGCGATGATGCTGCCTTCTTAAAGCCTACTGTGCCTCCTGACTTGGTCATCCTAAAGACCCTATCCTCCTGATCTGCATCGATGACTGACTTCTCTTTGAAGTGTATGAGTTCGGTCGCCTTTAACTTCCTCTCGAAGACGCGGGTAAGAAGGGTGGCGGAGACACCTGGCAACATATTAATAAGTAGTTTTACCTTAGGGGGTGGCTCATAGTTCTCCTCCTAATTATCCTTATTAACTCACAGGTCCGCACAAGGCCTCCTCTAGCGGAGGTTAATTTCAGCTCCATCCATCTTAAGACGCCTGGTCCTGGGGGACAGGCATAACAGTGCTAGACTGGCTGAAGGATGTCATCTTAAAGGGAGAGAATAAAAGAATTAAGTCTTAACTACATAAGAGATGACAAGCAACTTGCAGAGGTGAGCAGCTAACTCTTATAAGGTAGTTACAGGAGGGAGGAACCCTGTAGTAAGCTCTGCAGGTCAGTGAAGCCTAATCCGCAGATGTGATAATCACGTGAGGCAACCCCAATAAAACTATCCCATTTATTATTAAAAATTCAAAATCAATACAGTGGTCAGCATGGATGATTGGAACCACCCTTCCCCACTCCATCTTAAACAACCATCAATTACTGTGTCTGCTTGATACTATCATGTCCAGAAAGATTATAATACATTAATCACCATGGATGCCATCCGCGATAAGCATAAAGGACTTATTAGTGGGCTTACACAGATCTTTAATCTCTGGGTGAAAGCACAGTATATCTCTGTGACTGACATTATGACTCCACCGCACCACAACAACCTCGATATCCCCCGACTGCAACGCCTGGGGTTTGATCCTGAGGTCGTGGAGCTAGTTCAAAATCTCCCAGCCCTCAGGAACGAGGCAGTGTGGGGCTACCAAGATGAAGGAGTCGAGCTCATCCCTCGTGCAAAACTAGTGAATTACTTTGTGCAACCAAGCGGCACTCCTGGTGAGGAGATGCTTGAGGGTCTAAGATGGGTGGATTGGTCTGATAGGGAGAGGTATGGGATCTTACCGCCATGGGTGCTCCGTTTGACGCTCCCTGGCATTTATGGGGTACATCTGCTGTATGATACCCAGGATCGTAAGTCTTTCACTTACCTCTGTCTGCTATTCTTGCCTAAAAGTAGGAGAAGTAACCATGGCAGCAGAAACCATCATTGAATGGTGTGAGCTTGATACTGAATCATGGGCTGACCGTCCCCGGCGGCCCAGTGAAGCCTTTTTCACAGAGATTCTGCACCGCTTCCAGACTCTTGAATATCTCCCATTCTATAACCCTAATGATTGGGCTGCTGTCCCTAAGCGAAAGATTGAAGAGCACCCATTTATCTTTCAAAACATCTTCCCAGGAGGGATACGGCTTCCAATGGATGAAAAAACTGCTATCCAGCAGCTTAGCGATCAACCAGAAACAAGAGACCTTCTCCGCCAAAGATTAAATTATTGGAGAGCTCTGCAGAAGCTGTACTGGGATGCTGGTTGGGGCAGGGTATTTGATGGAGAGTCCTTCAAGATTAAGTGGAAGGAATGGTTGAAAAGTGCGGTGGATATGCAGTTCAAGGGGAGTGAATGGCGTAGTCAACCTATTCAAGGGCAGTCCTCACAGCAGCAGAGGGACCGTGAGGCATTTCGCCGTCAGTGGGAGGCCTTTTGGATTGAAAGTGCTGGTGAGGGTGCTGTCTAGGGGATGGAAGGCATACATTAATTAATAACATCTCTGCGAGGATGATATTATGCGCTTTAGCCTGGTCAAGTTTGTGCTCGGGAAGGCCGATAGAGAATCATGTCACAAACAGGGCAGTTACATTTCCAACTTCCTGGAATGCTTTGGCGTAGCTCATGTAGTTCAAAGTGTTTCTGTAGCGTGTCTTTGCGAGTGTATATGTATACATTTACGCTCTAGGATGGATGTCAGGGCACAAGGCATAGTGGGCATCCTAGATGAGTGGTTGACTGCTTAGTATCATCTCACATTTCAGCAGATTAGTAGGATATGGCATGAATACCTGGTTAACATACGTGGCTTTCTAGGAATGATGGAACTTCTATATAGAGATATACGCTTTACTTTACTCTAGGGAATATATCTAGTATAATAGGACTTTAGTAATAAGACGGATGTAACCTTAAGGAACTGTATAGAATATAGGTAGTTTACTAATAGTAAGATTCTTTAGAGATTAAGTCCTTATATTACTTTGGAACTCTATTATTACTATGATTCTAACAAGGTCTAAACCTGTATAGCTTTAAAGATCTACTAATCATGCCTAGGTTAGAAACTATCACACTATGTTGGTATACAGCGTCATGAAGGCCACCTATTCGGACAATGGCGCCATGTGTGAAATGATGATGATTAGCCAGTACCATTTCTCTGAATTTGGTAGCAGATACTCTGAATAAGGCAGGCCAATATCTGAGCAGGATATTCTCCTTAAGGGAAGACAGAGACATGGTCAAAGCTCGTCGATGCTGCTAATCTCTTGTTTAAGAACTTAGGCAACTCAGGAGATGATGTTATATGATTATAGTCTCAGGTAAACCAGCACAGGGTCCGTCTTACCTGTAGTTTTAACAATGTTAATGTTTGCACCTGCATATTAGCGGTAGCCTATGGCCATCACAGTGATTAGGACCGGTGAAATTGGAATAATCTCGATCCAGGTCCTGCGGATGAATCAAAAACGATCACCTCGACCTCGCAAGGATACACTACCACCAGGGAAGACTGGGCCGGATGGGCAAGGGATTACACCTGCCCTCATGTAGGAAATATTGATCCAAAGAGTAGAGACTGGGCAAGATGATGATGTTTTGATTGTCAACAAGGGCGAAAATAATGACACTATCTGGAACAGCTCCAGCTTCAGAGGTATAAAATGCAGCTCGCAAGCACGAGGACTTGACCAGCTGTTGTTCATTTCATCTCAAGTTGATAACAGTTACCCTCGGTCTAGTGTTACATAGAAATCCAACATGGCCACCTCGTTCCAAGCTCACGTCCACCATCCCTTCGAGATCCCCTCTTCAGAATTACTTCTCAACGCCCGATGCGTCCCAGGTATCACAGGGAACGGGATGCACTCCACTATCTCCCAGCATGACCCGCGCAAGTCCAGCGCTGGGGGCATTTCCGCCCTCGCCAATCTCGTGCAATCCCTTGGACGCAGAGCCAGCGGTGAGACGCCCTTGTCCAAAATCATCGGCGCGGACTATGAGGCGATCCTGGAATGGATCCGCTCGGAGCGAATGCGAAAGCTGCCTCCGGAGGGAAGTAGTTATGATAAAGTCCTTGTCTGGGCGCGGTTGTTCGTAGAACGTCTGCATTCGTTTGATCCGGCTATTCAGCATTTTGAGGGAGACAGTTACATGGCGGCTGAGTTGGCGTACATCCACTGTGCGAGTCTTCTTGAGGTATGTCTCTGTGCGGAAAGAGTTCAGGGGCAAGGATATCAATGACGTTCTGTAGTTGGGAGATGAAAACTCCAGCGCTCTCTTGGATGTCTTTGGTTTCTTCTATCGTTGCTCGACGGGTCTGGAGAATTTGCTTCACAGAACAGAGTTATTCATGGTCTCGCAGAGCATCAAGGACCAGCTGATTCTCGCTTTGGCGGACCTGGTTACCTTGGTCGTCGGGGTTGCTACCCACTGTCATCAGTCTCTTGGCACTCTGGCCTCGGGATTGGTTTCCATTGATATCTATAGTACTTTCACTGCGTCTATTGAGAGCTTCCGCGCTCGGTGTGAGCATGTGTCGGAAATGATGTGGAGGCATCAGCTGCTCGGAGCGGGTCTCCATGAGGACAAGGGTATCTCTGACATTTTGTCTGCCGTATCCGTCACATTTCATGTTAACACATGGCCTTAGTGACTCAGGTGAAGACAATCAAGAACTGGCTTGAGCCTGAAGATCCCATCTTAGGAAGTATCACCGAATTCACTGCGCACTTTGCCCAGGAGAGGGAGGAGTCGACGTGCCTGTGGATGACACCCTATCTCACTCGTTTCCTCAAGAGTGATCAAAAGACAATGTTCATCTCCGGCAAGCCAGGATCTGGTAAGACCATCCTGGCGACGGTGATCAATGACCACCTTCAGTATCCTATCGGGGGTGTCATGTACAAGTCCATATTTGTCCCGATCAGTGAGTCCACACTGTCTTGGTCCTTAAAGAGTTACTTTTCCACGCCATTCGCTAAATATTGCGCAGATGCACGCATCCCAGCCAACACGACGCCACGCGCAGCGGCAAAGACGATCCTTTCTCAGCTGTTTTCGGCACGCATTGGCAATGTGCAGCTGTATGAAATTCTCTCGGATGCGCACGACCGCTGTCGAAAGTCAACCATTGATGAGCAGTATGATAATTCCCTCTGGCATGCACTCGGCCTTGCCTTCCAGGCCAGTCTGAAGGATGCGAAGGAACTTGTCCTTGTCGTCGATGGAGTAGACGAAGCCAGTTGCGGACAGACCGCTCTGGTCAACCGGCTCAGAGACACGACCTTGCACGCGTCCAATCTGAAGGTGATTATTCTTGGCGCGCAGAAGCAGGAGGCCTCCACTGCAGAGACTGTGGTGCAGGTTACTCCGGAACTGATTCTCGACGACGTTTCTGCGGTCGTCCGAAGGATCCTCCAAAACTGCCCCGAATTTGGGGAGCTGTCCGAAGAACAGCGGGAGATCACTGTAACCCAGATCGCAGAGGCGGCCAATGGCTCCTTTTTGTGGGCCAAGCTGGCCGCGAAAAAGATCAGAGATGGGAACCCGCCTAACGGGCAGGGGTTGGTGAAAGCCGTTGACACACTGGCCAAGGCAGAGCCCTCTCTCACGGATCTTGTCGTTCATCGACTTGACTCGAAAGTGTCGGACGAGGCGAAGAGAATGTTAGTGTGGCTCGCCACTGCGACCCGTCCACTGATGCTACGCGAGCTGTCTGAGCTCCTATCTGTTCGACCGGATAAGGGCACCATCGTCGAGCCGGAGGTGGACCCGCGCACGCTTCTGCGACCCCTGGTGTCTCTGGTGTTCTGCCAAAATAACATGGTCTCCTTGCGACATGGGCAGATCCGCGCAGCTATCATAGACACCGTCAACAAAGGCAAACTGTTCCCAGCACTCGGGGACAGGCATCTGGATCTTGTCCTCAGGTTGCTGCTCTATGTCAAGCTGAACGTAACAGATGAGAATGAGCTATCTGAGACTCCGCTAGGCCCACAGAGGACGTCCCAGCTGCTGGAGCGGTTCCCTCTTCTCGACTTCGTCCTCCGGTACTGGGTGGGTCATACGAAAACCGCGCTGGGAAGTGGAACAGACCAGCAGATGCGCACAGTTGGAAAGGAGCTTGCTCCGTTCATCCCCACCAAGCAAGTTGTGCCACTGCTAGAGATGACCGTATGGAGAACAAAACCCACGCCGGTGCTGATATCCGTGCACAACGTCCAGACTCGCCTCTACCAGCAGACACTGACCGCCGATCATCCGGCAACTCAGCAGGCGATCATCTGCCAAGCACTCTTCTACCGCGAGATACGAGATATAGTGCCTTCTGAAGCTAGCCGGATCTTCTATCATGCAGCGATTATATGCCAAAAGGCGCTCTCCGGCCAACACGTCATCACCAGGAGGATGGCCCAGGACTTCCTGGAAAGCACCGCCGATCAAGTCACCAAGTCACGGACGGAGATCATGATAAGACGGACTGAGATGCTGCAGCTCCTTGTTGAATGCTGCAAGGTGCAGTATGGACAGAATAGTAACATTGTCATTTCGACGTTGACTCAGCTCGCGGAGCATTTCAAGTTTATCAAGGAAGAACGCAAAGCGCAGCAAATCACAACTTCACTGCAGGCAAGCCTCACGGAGAGTACTACTTCACAGTCAACTGTGTCCCACCAGTCCGACGAATCGTTGCTCGTTCAGCTCCATGGCCGAAAGCCTAGCGTTCAGGAAGGCACAAATTTTGCTCTAGACGACATCGAAGCCGATGACCTTATCTCGCAAACAGACAGCCAGGGTTCCCTGTACCGTGAGATTGAGAGCCACGTTCAGTCCATCAAAGAGGAGACAGCGAGTTGGTCCGACTCCACAACGACCGAGTCGAGCTTCCAAGAAATCATCTCCAGCACGTCGGCCGCGAGCTCCTCTTCCATCACAGCGGCTCAGAGGCTGGTAGATATGTGCTTGTCCCAGCATCGATGGCAAGACGCAACAAAAGGTCTGAAGGCAGTTCTGCTCCGTGTTTGGCCGTCCTTCTTCACTCCATCGGTCCAGGATGTGGTGCTTCCATCGGAGAACGCCGATCAGTGCATCAACCTGGCAGAGCGCCTGAGAGACTGCTATCGCTTCAGGGGCCGTCCAGCAAAAAGGGAGGACATCTCCCTTCGCCTCTATCACAGCATCCGGCGAGGCCGTCCTATTGGAGATGAGCTGCGAGAGCGGGTCACAAGGGAGCTTCTGCGACTCTATGAACGTAAATCTCAGACTGACAAGCTGATCCCCATCCATCAGGACATACTGGACGACTTGACGAAGAAATCTGGAGAAGATTACCCTGCGGCACTCAAAGAGCTTCGGACATTAGCAGACCTCGCACGGCCGCGCTCAGCTTCCGTCGGCTACCATCGCCGAATCATTCAGATTCTGAACAAGAACGCTGACACCTGTCACCCGGAGGCCTTCGAGTCTCTTCTCATCGTGGCAACGGAGCTTTTGGACCAGGGACAATACTCTGAAGCGCGAGAGCCCTGGAAAACCTTGTTCAATACTCTCCGGCACCCAAACATTAACCCGAAGCTTCGGGACCAGGGATTCGTCAAGTCAGTCTATGAGCGGTACACTCAGTGTCTACGTATGAGCCACGCGGAGCTCCGTGTGATACACGATGTGACAGTTCAGTATCGCAGCACCTGCGAGACGAGATTTGGAGCTTCTGCCTCGATCACCATCCAGTCTACGACCAGATTGCTGGATATCTGTCGGGAGTCCAAGCGATACGAAGCCGAAGTCGTCCAGTTGTGCGAACGACTCCTCAGGACTCAATCTACCGAGGGCGAGATTGACCAAGAGGAACTGCGAGCAATACTGGATGCTCATTACGAAGAGCAATACGCGTCAATCGCGGCGGCCGGTGTCGATTCCGTGTCCTCCGAGCAGATACAGCGAGTGATCACCATCCGAAATGAACGGCTGTCGACTGTACGGTCAACCTACGGCTGGGCCCACGAGAACACCCTGTCTGAGATGAAAGAGCTGGCCTCCCTATACACGAAACGAGGGGAAACGCAAACCGCCCTGTCGCTGCTCCAGGAAGCGACTGTTCAAATTGTTTCGAAGGAAACCTCGGCGACCAAACTCGCTGCTGCCGCCCAGACCATTGCATCCAGCTACATCGCGATGGGTCAGGTCCGGCGCGCAAAGGAGCTCTCCGAGGAGCTCTACCGTAAAATCGTGGTCAAGGAAGCCGGCTCCACAAATTTTGTCCTGCCGTTCGGTGGCCGTCAGAGCTTGGTCTTCCTCGCGCATTTTGAATACAGTCTTCGGGAGCAGAAGGAAGTCTCGCTCACCGTAAGCGAGATTCATTCGTCCCTGTGTGCCGAGTACCTTTACTTTGAGCGCTACCGATCAGAGGCCCGCTCCAAGTCCAGTACTCTGGAGAACGTGGTGGGCACTGCTGCTCGTCTGTATGGTCTTCTTCGCACCAGAAGCCATGAGTCGACGACTGCCCGTCTCGTAGAGGATCTCGCCAACTCCTTCACCACGTCCCAGAAGGAAAAAGTCCAGGTGAGCTTCGGTCAGGCCAAGGTCTTTATCGGCACTCTTCTCGAGTACTTTAGCATATATACCACTAAAAGCTTCCTGCGGTCCGTGGCCATCGCAAGCTACCGCCGTGTAACGCACCTCCTCACCACAAGAGATCACCAGGCTGCCTGTGATCTAGCCGTGACCGCATTCAAGTACATCCAGGCGCACAATGGATTCTCCTCCTCGCTGAGCGTCGTCAAGCTCCTCTTCAATCTAGGACTAGCCGTCTCCGGTGAAGATCTGGAGCCGCGTCCAGAGTCAACAACAAGGAAGCAAATGCTCAGCACATCAGCCACCATTATGAGCGCCACGCTGGGATACTGCAAGCAAGCCAACATCGACCTCGCCCAGCTGGACCTGGTAACGCTGAACAAACTGATCAAGCTCCTGGACGCACAAAGCGATTACACCAACCTGGCCTGGCTCCTCACGGGGCTCTGGAACAATCTCGACAGGCACCCGCCCTCGCAGCAGGAGGCGACATACACACTCGCCCTCGGACGCATGCTCGTCATCACCCGCTATCTGATGGGCGAGTACATGGCCGCCATCCGACTCGCCGAGGACATTGTATACAACTGTGCCCGCGTGCATGGGCCCCAGCACCCGAGCACCGCCGAGATGACCGTTCTCCTATCCCAGATGTACACCAGCGTGGCACAGGGATACCAGGGCAGAAAGGAGCGCCGCGAACTCGCATACCGGTACTATAAGAAAGCCGCGGCGCTGCATGAGAACGCGCTGCGAGCCTTCATCGATCCCACCTCTCTGGCGTCACCGGCGATAGATGACGGAGAAAGCTCACCCCGCTCGGAATCCGCACCGTCTAGTCCCGGCGAAAGACCGGAGGATTCGGGCAGGTATGTTCGGCAGCACCTGCATTTGCTCAAGCTAGCGGTGGAACGTCTGGGTAATTGGCCCAAAGACTATATGGAGTACGAAAGGCTCAATTCCGCTCTGTTCCAGGAGTTTGGAGACGATCTCAAGGGTGTTGAGGGTGTGGAGAAGTGGAATTTGAAGAACTTTGGGTCTGGTCGTGCGGAGGCCAGCGACGATTTGATTTCCCCCAAGTCGCATCCCGCATTCGGTCTGGGGGAACGGTTCGCGATTGCTGTTTGATGTCGAGATCGTAACTAAGATTGAACAATCCTATCATATCTTTTGCTCCTGTTGGTGTCTCGAGTGTACCAATGAACCTAAATGCCCTGATTTGAACTATTTAAGGAGCAGTAGCATGATTACTCGCTGACCACGCACTGCCTGCTCTGGCAACTCCCAGGTCTCTCTGGTGGGCTTGGGCTTAGTGAGTGATCCAGGTGCAGCTTTTATTGCGGCGCAGTTAGACTGCAGCAGACTATTGCAAGTTCCCTGTCGTGTGGGAGTCATTAGGATGAGTCCGGCTGTGATAGAGTGCATTGGCGTGGTTTAGCGCACTAGCACTTGTATAGGCGCTAAGCTTGAAAGGCCTCGACAAGGATAAACCCGTCGCATTGGCTATTATTACTCCTGTTCATCTGCCACCAGAACAACGGCGTTGGCCCATATCTTGCTAGTATCATAATTCTCCCCACTCTCATTTCCGAACGCCAACACCGCCGGTTGCATACAGGCCAGGACTCTCCGCCCATCAAGGCATTCATCGTCCTCGTCAAGCTGATGTAGCCGATGAGCGCTCATCGTTGGGGACGACGAATTAAAGGTCTGCAACTGGGACAGGCCATGGCACCGGATGGACGCTCTCTGAGCCCAGAGGGATAACGCCAGCTTGCCCGCTCCGTGATATAGCTTTTGCAGTTCTGCATTGCGCATCCTCAGGCTTGTCTGGTCTGTGATCGCGCGAAGAAGCAGCTGAGCAGGGCTATTGAGGAAGGCTTTGACCCACTCTCGGGTCAACCCCTGCAGTCTACCGTGCATCTTATCAGACAATACGCTTATGATTTGTGACCGCCAGACATGAGCCTTAGCCTGATCCACTAAGTCGCTGTGAGCTCTCCAGCAGGTACTTACAAGGCCGGGATAGGGAGCATACCTTGTTTCATGGCATCGTGTAAGAGGTGCATGCTCATCCGGTCGGGAAGCGTAGAATCATCGCTCGCCTCCGGAAAAAGGAAGAAGGGATTCGTGAACATCTGCCCGAATATATCCTTGGCAAGCAGTGACTCAAGCAGGACAAATGGGATCTTGTTCGGAGGGATCGGAGCCTTGCGGACCAACGAACTCCACTCTGTTTGGATGCAGTAGCCTTTCAAGTGCTTGATCACCTGATCTTTGTCCTGGCTAGGGACACTGTCAATGTCAGCCATGGCGTCCACGGCGTATTTCCGAGCCCACTGCCGCACCCCATCCTGCAGCTTGGTCAGCTCGCCCCTGACCACGCGGTCCTCTTTCGGGACATGGCCTCCCTTTGCCATTGCTTTGAGGGCGCCTTCTTGGGCGACGAGAGCTACAGATTTTAGCCTCTGACATTCGTCCCTCAGGTCGTCGAGGTCTTTTTCAAGCTTGGTCCGGTCCTGCTCCAGTCCCGTTATGTGCCGCTCTTGCTCCTCCATCCGCCGAGTATAATCCGCGATACGGGCGTCATATGCTTGGATAGACTTAGTATATTCTGCCTGTAGCGTCTGGATGTGTGTATCCTTCTCTTTCATCTTCCAAATATAATCCGACTCAATCCGAGAGGAGCGTGTGTTGTCGATCCGCCTGCCGTCATTGGGTTCAGCGGACACGCTCTGCTGGTGGCTTCGAGCGCTTTGGTCTGGTCGACGGTGGCTGAAAGAGGCAGACGATGGTTGTTGGCCACGAGATGGCCGAAACTGTACCTCGTCAGTCCGCGAAGCTAGATGAGACTGGGCCAAGATCACCCTATGCATGAGAGAACCTAGGACAGAGTCTCGGCTACCTGAGCGAGTGACATCTGGCTCCTTTGACCTCTCGTTCGGGGTCCCCCTATCAGTGACTTTCTGCTCCTGATTCCTATTGATCAGCTTTTGTCGTGGTCCGATGAGCAAACTGTGGGAGGAAGCTCATCGTATTTGGAATCTAAGTGCTCTTACGCTCTCAGGGCGCTTGGGACCTTTCTGAACAGAATAACGCTGCTTCATCGTTCAGGATTGTTATCGTGTGAGCCAATTGATCGTGTTTGAAATAATTGTGAGCAAGTGGCTGGAGTGTAGGTAAAATCCTGGGTGGCCTGGGAAACGCGTGTCCAGCGTGGGATGGTCTGCGAGCCAAGTAGGACCAACAACAAGGGACATAGCCAGGATAGATATAGAGAACGCATAGAGTAGTTTACTACAAGGTGGCCATGGCAGCTCCCAGTCAAAGTGCACGGTCTTATCACTATTCCTGGGACGTCGTCGTGTCAGCTGCCCTATTTGACCATGCAGCTAGTTACATACTCCGTAGGCTCCTAAGTACGAATAAGAAGTAGTACTTCGGTCGACAGGATGAGAACCCCGGTAGAAGTGTAGCTAGTCTCTGCCATGAACGGGGCTGTGTCTCCTTTGAAACAGCCCGGCAAGAATAATCCCTGCCTGGGACCTGCGCCGCAATTTCCCTGATGGGATTGCGTGCCGGTCTGGATTATGCGCAGCAAAGAGTTGAAAAAGACCAGTATCTGCTCGTGTCTGCCAGCCGAGACCATAAGAGGGACAGGAAATCGCCTTGCAACTACCAGACACCATCCCCGGCCACCAGTACACATTCAATAAGCCATGGCGAATACGTCCGTAGAAGGGCTCTCAGAAAAGCTAGACTCCCTGGCACTCATCCCATCCCACAGGATTATAGTCGGCGTCGACTATGGCACTACGTTCACTGGTACTGATTCTACCCCATTGATCTGCTCAAGGATAGCATCAATGACAAAAGCTAATCCACCCATGTGAAGGAGTCAGCTACGTCAGTACTCGAAATGGCACCGACCTGAGCGATATCGTCATCATCAGCAGCTGGCCTGGTCCCGCAAGGGACATGGACACGGTTGTCAAAGCTCCATCACGAATTGCCTACACCGCAGACAATCCGAGCATTCGGACCCGACGATGGGGGTATCAAGTCCAGCCAGGGATGACCGCGTACTCTTGGACCAAACTTCTTCTCGATCAAAACATCCCGCTGACTAAATACGACGACGCTACTTTAGAGGATGCCTCTAACTCGGGAATCCTGAAGCTTCCGGAAGGCAAGACCGCTACGGAGGTGGTTGCGGATTACCTGTCCGAGGTGTACCAGCATATTCTGAAAACGATTGCCAAGCAAATCACGGAAGAGACGCTCAGCATTACTCCGCTGGAATTCTGGTTCACCGTCCCAGCGATATGGTCCGATCAGGCACAAGCCGCAACACGCAGGGCTGCCCAGACCGCCGGGTTTGGGAGCCGGCCCTGCGACAATGTCTTCATGATCAGCGAGCCCGAGGCAGCGGCTATTGCGGCGCTGAGAAAGTATACGACCAACTCAATGGGTGGCTCCGTGCGGGTGCGTTTTGGGGCCATTGAGATGTGAGAAGGCACCGGCTAATCATGAAGCACAGCCTGGAGATGGTGTCCTGGTATGTGACTGTGGTGGTGGCACAGTGGTAAGGTTCCACAGACTTGATTCTGCACACAAAACTCACGTCGCAGGATATCACGACCTATCTGGTGGAGACGGTTACACCAGAGCTGACCTTTGGGGAGCTGTGTACAGGAATTGGTAGGCTCTTAGGGCTTCGAGTGAGACGTAACTGACGGGATAACCTCTAGGCGGAAAGTGTGGTTCTACTGCTGTGGACCGCAACCTCTATCAGCTCATGTCGCAAAGATTTGGAGAGGCATTTGATAACCTTCCAATGAGGATGAAAGGCCCAGGGAGTCAATTCATGAAGGCGTTCGAAAGCATCAAGAGAGACTTTGGCTATTCTGATGAAGAAAACGTGTTTGAACTGCCCCTGAATATGAAGCTAACAGACGCGAGACCGCAATACTTCAACGACGATGAGCGCCTGGTGCTCTTGAGCAGGTAAGGGAAGGTCCTCGCCGACGCTGTGAGAATATCTTGGGTATTAAAAGAGTCTTGTAGCGAGGATCTTCGGAAAGTCTTCGATCCTGTCATCCAGCAAATCGTCAAGCTGGTGCGCCAACAGATCAAAGACGCAACGGCGGAGGCTGGCAAGAGCGTTATCAATGTATGAGGCACCCTACTATTGTCAATCCTGTCGGCGCCCGTCCGTCCTAATCGGATCCAGAGGATTATTCTTGCAGGCGGCTTTGGTGATTCAGAGTACCTCCGGAGCGCCTTTAAGAGATTGTTTTGGTCAACAAACAACATCGTGATAACAGTTCCCGACAACCCGTGAGTGCAAAATCCGACCAACCATGAGTTCAAATGATTAGTACCATATGCTGATATTCAGGGAAATACTCCAGGCAAGCCGCCATCGTTCAGGGTGCTGCCCTTCGTGGTCTTGAAGGTCTTCGGTCCAGCACCAAAAGATGTCGCCGGAATTATGGGTTTGCGGCGGGAATCCCATTCCGTGAAGGCATAGATAAAGACACAGACGCGTACTTTGACACATTCACTGGAAAGAAAATGGCTTCAGGGGTTATGCAATGGATGATTACAAAGGTTTGTCACTGCCGGTTTATGTTCACGTACATCACCCCATGATTGATGATGCTTATGCTTCTCAACCGGAAACAAAAGGGGGAGAGATACGCCGAAAACCATGCCTGCACAGCTTCCCTCTTTCGGTCCTATCTGGAGGGGGACATGGACGTGCTGAAATCACATCTCATGCTCTACTCGAGCGATCTTGACCATGCTCCCGAGAGGGTCGAACATCCTGGTCGGTCTTCTTGAGGCCACGTTGCGTGCTATAACTGACTCTAAGCTGGCAGAGGTTCGCAGCGTTGGAAACATATGTGTAGACTTCACCGAGGTCGATCTCTCCATCTTTGAACGGAAGAGTCTGCTGGGTACGCCACTCTACAAGCTTCAATATGATGTGAAGGTCATCTTCGGGGCTCAAGAGGGGGTTTTGAAATTTGAAGCCGTCTCAAAGGGCAAGGTCATTGGCAAAACAAGCATCAACTTTCATCGTCCCGGGTTCTATTGACCACGAGGTCAGCTGGTCCATCATTTGCTAGTTGTTAACGTCGTGCATCTCAGGGGTTCACTGTGTGCGATTCGAGGTATATCCACAGCTATCATGCGCATCCTTTTTGTATTTTCTGATTGCAGAGTCAGCTATTTTCCCTGGACCTTGAAGGAATCGACGTCTCCTATCCTGCCATTCAAATGTATAAGACTATCAATGTCCTTGGTAACTTGGAAATCTATCAACATACTCAGTGTAAACTTTTGAGACAGGAGGCAACTCATCTTCAACCGAGCAGAGTAGCATCGACAACTGTAAACCGCTAGATAGAAGCAATTGCGGCTTCACCACAGTGTTTCTCATTAGCGTCACACCGCTTGGGGAGGTGCATGTTGCTCTCAAATGGGAAGCTATGGTTGTCACAGTAGCTATTGTTTGAATCATTGCCCTAAGTCGAGTTAGTTTTGGATACAGGGTGTTGAGCACTTGAGCTATATTGTGCCTATTTCTGCGCCCCTGGTCCTTACTCTCTGGATAACTTCTATTCTGCAATGCATATTTGTGTTCTAGTAAACCTGAGATGATTACGAAAGAGATACGTGCAAATCTTAGGAAGTTGGATCTTGGTTCTGTGGTGAGATGGTCAGCTGCAAATCCAACATGAAGCCATTTGATCTACAAAGTATCTTGAAGGGATCAGCATGCGAAGATACGATTCTGCTTACTATATAAGAAAGGTCAACAACAAGGACAATAAAAGCGCATCTGTCCAGGTAATAATGCATCGACACGTCTGAACTATACTGCTAACTCCACCTTCTGCCACCCTACTCAAACCTACTCCGTCGCTGCCCATTCACTTCCACCTGGACAGACGCAAAGCGCCGATACACCTGTGGAATAAAGTACGCGGTGATGTCCAGCTCCTCCTTCTTGACCGCAACCGAGTAGAACGCCTGGGCGCCCACGCGTGTCTCCAGCTCCTCAGCCGGCACAATGTCCCGGAGGACGTTCAGGTACGCCCTCGGATTGTGGTGTCCCTGGCCATGGCGCTCCAGGAAGCCGACCACCGTCTCCGCGGCAGCCAGATCACTCTTGGCATGCTTGCGCACATTAATGAACGCCTTGACATCGGGAAGGGCAAGCCACGGCTGGATATCGTAGTAGAAGCCCACACCGTGGTGGCCCGATGGGCCCTCCTCCTGGCCCGCTGGCACCTGTTCTGATGTGGGGAAATCAGACGGCAGTCCGTTCAGTTCATACCACAGCTCCCGCAGCTTGTCGAGGATTCCCGTTGACAAGGGCCGGCGCCCTCCGAGGGTCATGACGGTTGCGATGTGATCGAAGGAAGTGTTCGTCGTCGCGACGTAGAATTTCACCCTCGAGTCTTGCACCTTGCAGCAGTCGATGGCGGTTGTTCCACGAGGACTGAGCTGGCGTCCGTCGGGGTGGTTGGTCAGAAAGTCCTTGACTAGATTCAGACTGTCGAGACACACATCGTCGCCGTACGCCTCACGCATCGCCTTGGGAATGATAGTGGTGAGGAGCTGGCTGATCTGCTCGGGGATTCGGGGATACAGGTACATCTTGATCTCGATGGCGTCCGACTCAGGCGACAACTCCACGCCAGTCAGCACCGACGGGCCCGCGTACTTCTCCCTGTCCGCTTTGTCGGAAAACCGCGAAACGAGGTGCTGCTCAAACGTCCAGAACAGCGACAGGTCTAGGTTCGGCAGGGTGGTGGTGAGGTCCTGCAGCAGCGCCTTTGTTGCGAGCTCATTATTTGGGTCGGCCGCAGTCCCCGTCAGAGGGCCCAGAGGCTCGATGTAGTTGCGGATATAGGGCTTTCTGTCCGCCGTGCCAAAGCGCCAGCTGTAGCTGATGGGAGCACCGTCTCCCGCACTCGCGGCCACGCGGCTCCTGTACCACGGTTCGGCCGACTGCGGCTGGGGCCCGAACGTTGGGACTATCTTGAAGCGATGGAAGAGTAGACATTCCACCTGGCGATGCTCGGGATAGCCCGCCTCGAGCATCATACGGGCAAGGTGTCGGCCGGTCAGCTTCCACCAGAACTGCTCGTCCTCGGTCCCGACAGGGAGGGAACGGCAAAGGGCATCGAAAATGAGCAGGGGCTCGCCGTGACCCGGTGAGGCCCCACGGCTTTTGCCATTGAGCGAAAGAGGAGACATGCTCAATCTCACTGGGGGATATACGTCGGATGGATGGGAACGCAGCCTTCAATCTCTTTGACAGGAGAGCCAGTGTCTCCAAATAAACGACAGTTCCAGGATGAAGTATCTATGGGCCTACACAATTTACCTGCGAGCCTTCGCGGGTTATTATCTGTGTCGGATTTTGCAGGAAGCAAGCGCTTTCCGAATCTTACTCGGCCTTTGCGGCTTCATCAGACAAATACGAGACGGACTCTAGGAATGAGAACGACCGCGTCCGTTCCGCATTTTACAAGTCTCGGATTTTGCATATCTCGGATTTTAACTGAGTCGATTGCAACACGATCGGAGGATGCCTGTTTGCAGGTTCATTGATATTGTGCCGTGAGGAGGCCGTAAAACTCACTATATCTGTATATTACTCCCGCAAGAGGACCTTGATCGGCACACAACATCAGACCTTCTCAACAAACAACCATGGAGACGCCTCGCACACAGCTGGTATGGTTCGGGAATGAATTCCCCAGCGATGACCTGAAAGATCTGTTCCGGCGATTGCACCAACACAGCAAGGACCGGCGGTTCAGGCTGCTGTCCGTCTTCCTGGATGAGTCCGCGGCGATTCTCAAGGAGGAGGTAACCAAGTTGCCTCAACAGCTCCAGGAACTGGTGCCTCATTTCGACACGGTCTGCACGCTGGCCGAGGTCGACTTTCGCCAGGGTGCTCTAGGCGCAGCTATGGAGAGCGCGCTACTCACTATACTCGAACTTAGCATGCTCATCGGGTAGGCGTTATACTCCTCCTGTGACTTGTGAAGTGTGTTGACCTAGAAATCTTCCAGGAATTATGAAGCCGAGGATGCGGAATGGAACCTGGATCCATCCGAGACCGTTCTCGCGGGCCTGAGCATTGGCATTCTCGCCGGTGCAGCCGTGGCTCTATCCAGCAGCCTGGCAGATGTAGCCAAGATCGGAGCAGAAAGCGTCCGGGTTTCCTTCCGGCTGGGAGTCTATGTCGCCGACATCTCGACTAAGCTCGAAGCACCCCAGTCCGATGGAACGCTTCAGAGTTGGGCGCACGTCGTCACGGAGATGTCGCACGAAGCAGTTCAAGAGGAACTTTCTCAGTTCAATGCAGTCACGCAGAACCCGGAGCTCACCAAGGTCTTCGTCAGTGCTGCAGACAAGACGTCCGTGAGTGTCAGTGGGCCACCATCACGCGTCAAAGCCGCCTTCCAGCACTCACCCAGCCTACGATACTCCAAGTCATTCCCGCTGCCCGTGTATGATGGTCTCTGCCACGCGCCGCATCTATACAGCCGGGATGATATCGAGACTGTCATCAACAGCGCCGAGTCTGCGATACCCGCTTCCCGGTCTGTGCGACTGCCCTTGATCTCGTCCCAGACCGGCAAACCGTTCGGGGCCAGGACAGCCCGTGAGCTCTTCCTGGAAATTGGCACCGAGCTGCTCACTGGCACTATCTACGTCGACAATGTTACGGCTGGTATCCTTGAACACGTCAAGCTGAAGGAATCGACAGGAGGATACCAGATTGACTCCTTCCGCACCTCACTTGTCCTGAAGGGTATCCAGTCAGCCATCGAGACCGGGTTCCCAGAGCTGCCGCTGGTCCGGCGCGATCTGGTGTCGTGGGTTCACGGAGACTATGGTGCCCGCCGTCCCTCTTCCTATGCGTCCTCAAAGCTCGCCATAGTCGGCATGGCCTGCCGGCTGCCTGGAGGGGCCAATGACCCCGAGCTCTTTTGGGAGCTGCTCGAGCAAGGACGCGATACCCTCACCACGGTGCCGCCGGACCGATTCGACCTGAACACACACCATGACCCTACCGGGAAGACGGAGAATGCCACTCAAACTCCGTTTGGAAATTTCATTGATCGGCCGGGCTACTTTGATGCCGGGTTCTTCAATATGTCCCCCCGAGAGGTAGCTCACCTACTATCCCCTGCTTTCCTCCCCGACGATACTAACAGTACACAGGCGGAGCAAACAGACCCCATGCACAGACTTGCCCTCGTCACCGCATACGAAGCCATGGAAATGGCAGGCCTTGTCCCCGGCCGCACCCCATCCACCCAGCCGAACCGCATCGGCACATTCTACGGACAAGCGAGCGACGACTGGCGGGAGCTGAATGCCTCCCAGAACATCAGCACGTATGCGGTGCCTGGCGGCGAACGCGCCTTTGCCAATGGGCGTATCAACTACTTCTTCAAGTTCTCCGGGCCTTCGTTCAACATTGACACAGCCTGTTCGAGTGGTCTGGCGGCAGTGCAGGCGGCCTGCTCGGCGCTGTGGTCCGGCGAGGCCGACACAGTCATCGCTGGCGGGCTGAACGTCATCACCGACCCGGATAACTACGCCGGTCTTGGAAACGGCCATTTCCTCTCCAAGACGGGGCAATGCAAGGTTTGGGACAAGGATGCCGACGGGTACTGCCGCGCAGATGGAATCGGGTCAGTTGTTATCAAGCGTCTGGAGGATGCCGAGGCCGATAACGACAACATCCTGGCTGTCGTCCTGGGTGCTCGCACCAACCATTCTGCTGAGGCTGTCTCGATCACACACCCCCATGCTGGCGCACAGAAGGACAATTACCGCCAGGTGCTGCACCAGGCGGGCGTCAACCCCCTGGATGTAAGCTATGTCGAGCTCCACGGCACAGGGACCCAGGCCGGTGACGCGGTGGAGTCCGAATCGGTCTCGGATGTCTTCGCGCCCTCTTTGCCTCGCCGTCGAGCCGATCAGCGTCTGCATCTGGGCGCAGTGAAAAGTAACATCGGGCATGGTGAGGCTGCGGCGGGTATCGCTTCCCTGCTCAAGGCCCTCCTGGTGTACCAGAAGAACATGATTCCCAAGCACATCGGCATCAAAACCGAGATCAACCCAATCATTCCCAAGGACCTCGAGCGGCGCAATGTGGGTCTGGCCATAACGAACACCCCGTGGCCGCGGCCTGCAGGGAAGAAACGCCTTGCGGTCGTCAATTCGTTTGGAGCGCACGGCGGCAACACCACTCTCCTGCTGGAAGACGCCCCGGAGAGAGCGAACGTTTCGACTGAGGATGACCGCACAACTCATCCGGTGGTCCTCTCCGCAAAGAGCAAGAAGTCCCTGCAGGCCAACATGGAGAAACTCCTGTCGTGGCTGGATCAGCAACCTGACGCGGACCTGGCGGACCTCTCGTACACTCTCTGCGCGCGGCGGATGCACCACAGTATGCGATTTGGAACCGCAGTCTCCGACATCGCGACTCTGCAGAAGAACCTCCGCTCCTGGTTGGACAACCCGAAGGCGTCTGCTGAGCTACGGGCCATCCCGAACGACGCGCCGTCCGTGGTGCTGACCTTCACTGGTCAGGGTGCCTACTATCGCGGCATGGGGCGGGAGCTCTTCACGGAGTTCCCTGATTTCCGTACGCAGGTACTCCAGCTTGACCAGATCGGACAGCGGCTAGGGTTCCCGTCCGTTGTCCCCGTTATTGACGGTAGCATTGACGATGGTCCCGCGTCGCCGATCCTCACGCAGCTTAGTCTTGTCGTGCTGGAAATCGCCCTGGCACGGTTCTGGTCGCTCCTCGGCATTCGCGTCAGCGCCGTCGTCGGACACAGTCTTGGTGAATACGCTGCGCTCGCTGTTGCGGGCGTCATCTCCGCTGCCGACGCTCTGTACCTCGTTGGACGGCGCGCGCTGCTGACCGAGGAATTCTGCACTCAAGGCAGCCACTCGATGCTGTCCGTTCGCGCGGCGGAGGAAGAGATTGAAGAGCTCGTTGCAGCCAGTCCCGAGACTGCTGGAGTAGCGTACGAAGTGTCCTGTCGCAACACTCGCCAAGATACCGTCATCGGCGGCACTAGAGAGTCAATCAACACCATCCGCCAAGCCCTCGAAGCAAAGAGCGTCAAGTGCACGCAGCTGGATGTGCCATTTGCCTTCCATACCGCGCAAATGGATCCCGTCCTGGATTCGCTGGAGACGTTGGCGACTCCAATCGCGTTCAAAGCCCCCAGCATCCCGGTGTTGTCACCCCTCCTCGGAAGCGTCGTGTTCGACCGCAAGTCCATCAACGCACAGTACCTGCGCCGTGCGACCCGTGAGACAGTGGATTTCTCCGCGGCCATTGAAGCCGCTCAGGACTTTGGCCTGGTCGACGCCAAGACGATCTGGATTGATGTCGGGCCGCATCCGATCTGCGCTGGCCTTGTACGTGGCATGGACGGCTACGCGTCTGTGGTCTCCTCGTGCCGGCGCAACGAGGATAACTTGGCGGCCATGTCCAAGGGCCTGGTCACCCTCCACCTGGCGGGCCTCACGCCGTGCTGGGCGGAATACTTCCGGCCTCGCGAGCGTCAGTATTCGCTGCTGAAATTGCCCGCGTACAGCTGGAATGAGACAGACTACTGGATTCCGTACCTTGGGACATGGACGCTGGACAAGGCTCATCTCAAGTACGGGCAGAAGACGGCTCCTGTGTCGCTGTCGGTGTCGCGCCCTTCCGCGCTCCGGACCTCGTTGGTTCACCAGATCACCACTGAGACGGTCGAGGCGACGACAGCCACCCTCCATGTCCTCTCTGACATGCAGCATCCTGATTTCCTGGAGGCTCTACACGGGCATAGGATGAATAACTGCGGTGTTGCGACTTCGGTATGTGATTTCTTTCTGATCTCTGCATTAACATCTATGTGTATATTTCGTGGGCTGACTTCTGCAGTCTATCTGGACTGATATGGCCTTCACTGTCGGTGAATACCTCTACCGCCGACTCTTCCCCCAAGCCAAAGACGTGCACATGAATCTTACGGACGTCGAAGTCCTGCACGCACAGGTTGCCCTCGAGAAGAAAGGAAGCGTCCAGCCACTGGTGCTCAAGGCCCACCTGGACATGTCCACCAGCTCCATGTCACTGGCCTGGTTCAACGCAAGCGCCGAGACCGGCGAGTGCGCCGCCGAGTCCTTCGCCACGGCCGTGGTCAAGTTCGAGGACCCAGCCACGTGGACCAGGGAATGGGACCGGCTCTCACACCTGGTCCTGGGGCGCATTGAGGCGCTGGAGCAGCGCGCCACGGAGGGCAAAGCGAGCAAGCTCTCCAAGCCGCTGGCCTACGCACTCTTCAAGAACGTCGTCGACTACGCGGACCGCTACCGCGGGATGGACCAGGTGGTGCTGCACGAGCACGAGGCCGTCGCGGAGGTGACGCTCGTCGCCGAGCGGCATGGCAGCTGGCACACGCCGCCGCACTGGATCGACAGCGTCTCGCACCTGGCCGGCCTGGTGATGAACGGCAGCGACGCGTCCAACACCCGGGACTACTTCTACGTCACGCCCGGATGCGCCAGCTTCCGGCTGCTGAACCCGTTGGAGGCCGGGGCCAAGTATCGCAGCTACGTGCGCATGTTCCCGCTGCCGGAGGAGGCAAATATGTACGCGGGCGATGTGTACATCCTGCAGGGCGCGCGCATCGTGGGCATGGTCGGCCAGATTCGGTTCCGTCGCGTGCCGCGTCTTCTCATGGACAGGTTCTTCTCGCCCGCTGCGTCCGCGGCCCATTCGGCACCCGCGCAGCAAGTTCCGCAGCCACAAGGCGCGACTTCCAGCGCCACCAATGTCTTGAAGAAGGGCAGTCCTCCTGCGGCGGTCCCTGTCTTAGCCACAATGACCCCGAGCAAACCCGTCCCGATCCCATTGCCCGACGCCAGCAAGACCCAAGGCTCCACCCCCCCGCTCACCCCTCCCTCGGAAGAACAGTCCCCCGGCGAATCCGCCGTCGTGACGCCAGCCACATCCGACCGGGGCGATCCGCTGGACGCCGGCGTGGTGGGCCAGTGCCTGCGGGTGATGGCCCGCGAGACGGGACTGGAACTCGACGCGTTGACGCCGGACGCGAGCTTCGTGCAGCTGGGAATCGACTCGCTCATGTCGCTCGTGTTGTCGGAGAAGTTCCGCGCCGAACTGGGGGTGGAGATCAAGAGCTCGCTGTTCCTGGAGTGTCCGACCATCGGGGAGATGACGGCTTGGTTGGAGGAGTACTGTTAATGGTTTTCTTCTGTTTGTTTGTATAGAAACTTGTCTAGTCTTTGGTCGTCATCAATCTACAGCTAACATGTACTCATTTCTTGTATATCTCTGAGCAGAAGCATAGCCATGATATCGGATAGACCACCATAGCAGGAGCGTAGACGTATATTCTCTGTTGATCCTGCTCGCCTTTAGTGGACTCTCTATACATCTTAGGTATCGGTATACGGCCAGATCCCATGTTTAGGGGTAAGCTTTCAAGCCACGAGCTTTCTATACAAACTTGGACCAAAATTCAGAATTCCTGCTCTACCATTATTCTAATAGGAATTATATTCACACAAATATGTTAATATAGCTAGCTCAACGCCTATCTCCTCGCACTTTTCAGGATCAGTATCCCTGACCTAATGCCAAATTGAGTTGTCCTTGGTCCCTGTCTGATCGCGCATATCAACAGCGAAATAGACTCTGTTCAGAATATAAAACGCAGTCCCTCTATAAAATCCGGTGCCAAAATCCGATGTTTCACGCAAAATCCGCGGTATAATCCGGATTTTACCCTACAGACCTGCGGCCCTCCTTTCCCTGGCAGCTATACATTGGCCAAGATCAGATGGATGTAGCCAACCGAGGACCTAGGTCAGTTCATTTGCCATTACCAAAAGCACTGGAGTAAACCACGATGACACCCCCCCTCCCGATCCTCATCATCGGAGCCGGCATCTCAGGCCTCACAACCGCCCGCCTGCTCACAAACAGCGGCATCCCGAATATCGTCTTCGAGGCGTCCAGCCCAGACCGCAGCCAGGGCTTCGCCATCAGCCTGCGAGAATGGGGCTACGCGGCGCTGTTGTCCGCGCTCGGGGACCTGCCGCTGCGGAGCTTGACGCGGGGGGTCGCGCCGGACCGGGAAGTCGGGGGCTCGGGCTGGATCGACCAGGTGGTGTGGGATAACGGGACCGGCGAGAAACTGTTTGTGCCGGACGCGAACGCGGCGACGAAGGGGGAGATTGTGCGGGCGAACCGGAATTCGTTGCGGAGGTGGGTTGCGGACTGTGGGGAGGAGGAGGTGGATGTGCGGTACGGGCATCGGCTGAAGAGGGTGGAGGGCTGCTTGGGGGACGTGAGGGTGGAGTTTGAGAACGGGGCGTGCTATCGGGGGGCGATGGTGGTTGCTGCGGATGGGGTGAACTCGACTGGTTGGCACTTATCCTCGAGCATACGACGACTCAACTGATGGTCTGTATACAGTTCGAGCACAGGTCCTCCCCGATGTCACCCCCGAGACGGTCCCCGCGGTGCTCTACCACGGCGAGTTCCAGCTGCCCAGGGCCGACTTCGACCGGCTCTTCCGGCCGCACAGCGGGGACTCCAACATCCTCGCTGGTGTCGGCGATGGCTTCAACGCCCCGTTCGCGGTCTGCAACAAGACCAGGACGCACGTCCACATGGACTGGTCGTACTCGCGGCCGGCCTGTGGCAGCAGCGACGACCCGCTGTACAGGCCCAATCTCCCCTCCGAGGAGGCGAAGCAGATTCCCCCGGCGCTGGTGGAGGAGCTTGCGTCGCGCGATCTGGCCGAGCCGTGGAGTCTCTTCCTCAACGGTGAGGCTATCCGACGTCACCGGGTGTTTCACTGGACCGTCCGGTGCGTGTTTGTGACGCGGGAGGACATGCAGCGTGCGGCTGGGAGGGGCGTTGCCTTTGTGGGCGACTCGTGGCACGCGATGCCCATCTTCGGCGGGGAGGGAGGCAATCATGCGCTTGTGGACGGGGTCGAGCTGGCTGCTGCTGTTGCGGCTGGCGCGGGGGCCGACTTGGGCCTGGCGATTGGGAGCTACTATGACCGAGCGTGGAAACGATCCCAGGAGGCTGTTCGACGGTCCAAACAGCGGTTCTATGCGTTGCATCGGCCAATGGCTCAGTGGAGGGAGATTGCGCAGAAGAAGAGCTTGTAACTTTTCGAACTGTTTGTACTACCAGGACAAGAATGATGGATGGTTGCATTGATGCTGAGGCCACCAAGCACTATCTAAAAGTAGGCAGGAGGCCCTCTATCCATTCTTCCAACTTCATACCTAGGTAATTTTAACGTAGTTCCTCTGACACCGAGTCTCTGGTCCGGTCTCTTGTTCCATCGAACAAGGGCCGGTCGAGAGATATAATCATGTATTCCTCTGATCATTATGACCTCTAGTTAATCTCTTATGGTCGTATACAAGCGCGGACTGTGGATTCGCAAAGATATTGGAACAAAAAGAACAGTCGGTTACACTAACTTATGTCTTACCACCTCCTGATATCGATCATCATACCATTGTCATGCTTAAATGTAGTAATAAACTCATTAGCCAGTAGGGTGGCAGTAGACCACGACATGAAACATGCCTCGATACCCCTTGCTTGAAGATACGTATATCCCGCAACTTATAAGCGATCTCACCAGCTTACTCGCGTATCCCAGGAAAGGCCCATTCCCCGAGCCTACGGACCATGCAATAGGTCGCTAGCAGGGGAAATACGAGTGCTGCTCCACTGCAATCGTATGATAGCACGAGACCCCCGCAACGAACTATTCCGACGTGTGGAATGCCTCAATGATCGAGCTCCGGCTCATGCTTACTACTAGCCGAAAGAGGATAATGCAAGTCTGCATGAGGCTGCAGCTCTATTAATATCAGGGGTGGGGAATGATTGGCCAGGCAGCTTAATTCATTCATTCCCTCGTTGACACCTTGTCACTTAGGGCATGAGAATGTGGGACCGATACTGGGATTGGGAGCACTGGCTATCTTCTGATTATATCTTGCAATATCAGGCCTTCACTTATTATGGCAGTTGGGAGTAAATGAATATCAAAGGGACTCGGTATGCTCTCAATGAGAAAAAAGACAAGAAAGCGCAGAAGGCTTGACGCAGACAAGACAGCTAAGACACACTGAGTGACAGTATTCCAAGGCTGCTTCTCCTTTGATAGAATAAGGTTGTAGCAGAAAGTAAGCCCGTCCCGAGTGTAAATGGACATGACGAATATCACCTCTTTCTCACTGGATGCCACAAAGCCCATCCTCGTATCGGGCAAATGAAGATAGGTCTGGCCACGTATACAGAACATGGTTCGGATCTAATATCTGATCCGAGATACGAGGCTGTGTCTCTTGATTATGGTGGCACGGCAGTGACACCGTCACATGTGGCTTTTTCGAGAAAAGTGTAATGGGATAGACGGTTCTCGATGCTGATATCAGCTCGCTTGTTGCATGCTCCACAACCGCATCACGCTTACATGTCATCCAGAATCGATTAATATCTGCTCTGCTTTAGCCTGGTAGTTCTGTTAGTACAGCGGGGCGACAGGGCCTTGTTATAGTCGAATCCTCTAAGCAGAATTCTGCCTTCTATTGGACCGGCCTATCTCATATTTCGTATAACCACCTTTACCTCGACACATAACGACCTGGCACCTTGCCTGCACCAGATCATTGAGGCCTTCGCACAAATTAGATGGTGTAAGAGTCGCATGGTAGAAGTAAAAAGTACTCTGCCCACTCGGCAATTCTCACACAAAATGCCAGGCAACATTCTTATACTGGCTATATATGCATCCACTTGCAGGGGTTACGTTACATCGCCAATGATACACCCTCGTGTTTATCTCGTGTTTCCCTCGTGTCCTGAGACCAACGATCTGATCCAATGTCGGGGGGAGATAATGAACAAGGAATCCAGGGATGCTTGTCTGGCCTGGTGAAGCATATATAGACATGTACTCACGCCCGGCCACCGTACAACCACCTGCTCTCAAAATGGAGAAGCGCAATCAGCGAAAACGCCCGCAGACTCCCCATCTGAGCTGCGAGCTCTGCCGCGAGCGCAAGATCAAGTGCGACAAGGTCGATCCCTGCACCAACTGCGTCTCCGCAGGCGTGGTCTGCGTCCCTGTCCACCGGCCACGCCTGCCACGGGGTGTGCATGCGCGACGTGCTCGCCGAATGTCACCTGCGCCTGCGCCTGCGCCTGCGCCCACGCCCGCTGCGGGACCGGTCTCTCCGAAGGAACCGCAGATGTATGCGTCTTCCAGTGCCGTGGCGGCAGTCGACGAGGATCTCAGGAAACGCATCCACCGGCTTGAGGCGCTGGTGAACAGTATGCGTTCGGCCACGACGAGCCCGTGTCTGGCATCTCTTAGCCAGGTGAGTTGCGCATAGGGGTTTATAGTCGAGCGTGCTGACGAGGGGACAGTCGGGTATCAACAACTCTCATCCGGCGCCAACAGGCTCACTGTCATGCAGCCCATCCGCTCCTGGTGTCCAGAAGCAGGCACCCTTGACCCCAGGCTCTGATTGTTTCTGGACTAATTTGACTGGAGAGGTAGGGCAGCATCGCGATCTGACCAATGTGACTGGCGCATGGAATGCTGATGGTCTCCGTAGGGGGTGGATCAGATACAGGAACTCGACTGGAAGATAGGATCGACTTCGGAGCACACAAAAGCGGATAGCCACAGCCCGCCGACACCAAACGCCTCGAAAATGGACGGCGGCGGGCTTCGAGTCCTCGGCCTGAGTGGGAATAACCCGGCCCTCGCCTGGACTCCTCTACTTGAAGACAAAGAAATGACACGGCAGTTATGTCAGGTCTACCTCCAACAAGTCGACCCCATCATCAAGATCCTGCACCGACCATCTGTCGAGAAGTGGATAATGCAGGGGGAGCGGTACCTGGGTTTTCCAGAGAGGCACGTTGCCGTCGATGCGTTGGGGTCTGCCATCTGCTACGCAGCTGCCGCGAGCTTAACCGACGATCAATGTCCGGCCCACTTCCAAAGCAGCAAATCCAGCGGCATCGTGGCGGATTGTCGAAGAGCGTGTGAGGCCGCGCTGGAGCGAAGCGGGTTGCTGGCCTCTCCCAGCATCACTGTCCTGCAAGCATTTGTGCTGTACCTCGTAAGTACCAGCGTCCCAACCAACCTCGACAGCAAGAGCAGCATTTGTTTTATTGACCATATCGGAATAGATTGCCAGAAGATCCGAAGACCGCAGTCAGGCTGCATGGACGCTGACAGCGGTGGCCGTGAGACTTGCAAAGGCACTCGGTCTCCATATGGAACCAGATGAGACATTCTTCAGCCAACAGATGCGCAGGCGACTCTGGCTCACCATCTCCCTCATGGACCTGCAGGCCTCCTTCAGCCAGGCCTCCGAACCGCTCATCAACACTGAGGAGGCCATATCCACATTCGTTCTGCCCCGGCACATCAACGACTCTGATTTCGATCCAACCACAGCCCATGACATCCCAGACAGGGAGGGATTGTGCGACACCACCTTCGCGCTGGTCACATATCACATCCAGCTGGCAGGGCGGGCCCTGAATTTCAGCGCCGCGGCATCAGCCCAAGGCAAGGCGTCTCAACAGCAACACGCGCAGCACTTCGAGCGGAACGCGCTCCGCCTCTTGCACTTTTGCGACCCCGAGTCCTCGCCGTATGCGTGGTTCACTTGGCACGGCACGCAATGCCTCGTCTCCGGAGCTCGGCTGTCCGCTCTACGGCCGCTCCAGCGCCTGCAGCCCTGTAGCGGCAGCAGCCAGCCGTCGCCCTCTCCGCCTCCCTGCCTGCAGGAACACAACGCAGAGCTGCTCCGCCTGGCCGTGAACGTCCTAGAGAAGGCGCACCTGATGCACACAGATCTCCGCGGCGAGGGGTTCCGCTGGTACGTGACGATCCCGTGGCACGCGCTGGCAGTCGCCATCACCGAGTGCTCCCTCTGTCCGGATGTGACCCAAACGCGGTGCGCGTGGCCAACCATCGAGGCATGCTATCAGCTCCTGCGTCGTGAAGGCATGGCGGGCCAGGAGGAGGCGATCCAGCGTCCGCTGGAGAAGCTGATCCGCCGGGCCCGGGAGACCGCGAGCCCGCTTTTGCAGCTCGCAAGCCCGAGTCCAACATTCGGCTTCAGCAGCAGTGCTGTGACATCTGCTGCGCCCACGCCGCAATCTCGGTCGAGCACTGCCCCGAGTGACAGTCTCAGCGATCTGTCCTGGCCGACGGCTTTCTCCCATTCCCATTCTCAATCTCATCTCGGCTTGGATTTGGCTCCGGCGTGTCCCGTGCAGCCATTGACCAAGCTGGATCTGGATCCGATGTTGTTGCCGTTCGATATGGAGGGCCAGCCGCTGCTTGCTGGCCAGATGCCCCGGGTGGATGTCGAGCCGTCGTTGCGGACGTGGGAGCAGCTGATGTCGGAGATTGACCAGGCCGAGTCAGCTGGGTCGAATATGTTTCTTTGTTAACACTGGACGTCCCTTTTCCTTCTTTCCTTGGCCATTTTCAGCTTGAATGAAACACGGGCAAGACATGAACCTCTGACACGTTTTTCGGGTTTTAGCTTCCTGCTTGGTTTGGGTGGATGTCTGCTTTTCCATATAGAGATGAGACTTTTGATAGATCGCCGGTTTCCGGGCAAATGATCGAAATACACACGTTTTAGGTGTTTACACTATATTATAAAGAAGGATAGGACTGTTTCAGTGCAAGACCCAAGATCTTGATGTCTCCTCATCCGTACTACAATCTCATCGCTCTGCATACCAGGGCTGGCTGCAGCATATTCCTCCTAGTCCCTGCTTAGCTAAAGGCGTATTGCTTATGTTGGTGTCCCTCCTCACCACAGCCGATAACCTCCTACGAGCAAGTCTCGGACTTTGGCGTCCGGGCATCTCTGCCGTCGGATTTTAGCATTCTACACAGAGCACGAGCTCGGGCTATAACACAACAAAGCCTTCTACCGGTACACTATCCCAGATAATCCGGATTCTTCTGACTGAGGAACTCCCAGAGTACTGTATACTCTGCCGACGCATGCAATGGCCCTCCGCATGCCATTCAACCAGGCCTTCTGGGAGGAGTACCTCTCCGGCCAGGATGCCACCCTCCCTTCCCTCCCCGATACCTCGACCCTCAGCAGCCGAGTAATCCGCATTCTCGGCGGGAATCCAGGCGCCATGCACCTGCAAGGGACCAACACGTATCTAGTCGGGACGGGACAGTCCCGCATCCTGATCGATACCGGACAGGTAGGCACCATCTTCCCTATTAACCCTAGGAGGTAGACATGAACGCTGATACGGGCACAGGGCCTCCCCATCTGGCTCACCCGCGTCACCGAGCTGCTGCACTCGCACGACCTCTCCATCTCGCACATCCTCCTCACCCACTGGCACGGCGACCACACAGGCGGCGTCCCCGGTTTGGTCTCGTACAATCCCGCCCTCGCCGAACACGTCTACAAGAACCTCCCCGACGCGGACCAAAAGCCCATAGCGGATGGGCAGATCTTCGCCGTGCAGGGAGCTACCGTCCGCGCGATCTTCACGCCCGGCCACTCGGTCGACCACATGTGCTTCCTGCTTGAGGAGGAGAATGCCCTGTTCACCGGGGATAATGTGCTGGGGCATGGGTACAGCGTCGCGCCGGATCTGGGGCGGTATATGGAGAGTCTGGAGCGCATGGCAGGCTTGGGTTGTGGGCTTGGATACCCTGCGCATGGGGCCGTGATTGATGACCTCCCTGGCAAGCTGGAGGAGTATATTCGGCACAAGGAGACGCGTGTGAGAGGGGCTTTGTCGGTATTGGTGAAGGAGAGGGAGAGGGGGGAGGGTGAGGCTGGGAGG